AGAAAAAGCTGAATTTCAACTTTTCAGCGAATCCTCCTAACGTTTTTGTCTTTCAGCTGTACTGAGTGTCCACTTACCCACATCAGCCCAGCTACTCCCTCCCAGGAGCGCAGATCCTTACCTACTGTGGACAGAAGCTACTTTGCTGCTTTTAAAACATATCTTAATTTTGAATCCAATCTTTCCAATATCTTCAATATCTTCTAATATATACTCTTTCAGGAGACAGTAAGTCCCATATATGTATGTGTGTGTGTGTATATATATATATATATATATATACACACAAAAAAAATTATTTTTAATGACTGTCTTTGGCTTATGTGTGTGTGTGTGTGTGCACGCGTGCACATGGGTTTATTTTCTCACATCATTGTTAACTTTGGACAGTGTTTGGTTTCTCCCCCTCAGGAGGGTGAGTCCCTGCAGTTCTCCCATCACCACAGTATCCGTGATCCTTCACCACAGTCCCTGATGTTCTTTCCTCCTTTTGACCCTTCTCTCTCCCCTCCCCGGCTCTATGCCTCAGATCTGTAGTCAACTTGTGTGTTTTGTGCAAAAAGATCTCTTAAGGCTCCTGGGAGACCAGACCATTGGTTCTCTCCTGAACCAGGCAAATTCCCACCCAACCAAGAACCAGTTCAAATTTCAGTTCATGCACCAAACACGTCACCCGCAATGCTGCAGGCTCTGTGCTTCATACAAGTAGCCACATTCACAAGTTGACAGACCAGAGAAAGACATTAGGCAAATGACAAGTGTCACGAGTGTCACACAGCAGCACTCAGGTTGTCAGCGGGCCTCTGGAAAGACACATGCATCTACACAAGCCTCTCCTTGATGAAATAATGTTTGACAGGAAGAGGCGACAGAGGAGGCAACAGAAATCAGAGGCACGTGCTCTCACTGGGGCCTCTACTGTTTCAAATTCAGGAAAAGATCATGTCCTGAAAGCTCAAGCTCATGGATTTAGCATTCATATTGCATTTTCCCACAAAATACATTTACGAATAGTGGCAAGGTTTCTGGCAGCCAATTATTTATGTGCAGCACCAACAATACCCATAGAGAGCATTCTACTTAAGCCTCGTACAGGAAATTTGCATCCCATCCCAATGTCCAGTGGAAGTCCCTTCGGGAGCCCTCTTCCTCATTAAGTCCCAGCAGTTCCTCCCACCTGCCCCACAGCCTAATTACCTGGCGTCAGGCCAGCCTTGTAACTGCCCGACAGGATACCTGCACCAAGTAACCAACTCAACACTCAGGCATTTGGGCTACAGTCTCTTCTCTCCAGCTTCACCCCTCTGCTGCAGCCAGTTACTCTATAAGGGAAAAACTTGCAGTGGTTTCCCACGGCCCATCTATTCCCACCTCAGCCTGGCATCATTTTCCAGAACCCAACTTCAGTGATGTATCAAACTGTATCATGATTGGTAAGTTGTTTGCATACCAAATGTGTGTTTCCCAGTAGACAAGAATTCCAGTGCCCACCAGGGACCAGGTTGTCTTCCTCTTCAGGAGAGCACACCTAGGAGACAGTGACTAGGTTCTACGTCCATTGCCAGTACTACTTATTGACACCTGTTGTATTATGCACAGATATGTACGGACTTTTTGGCCACAAGGCCCTACATTCTTTCATGGCAAAAGTAGACACTCATTTTTTTGCCACTTACTAGCAAAGTGACCTCCCAGGTCACAAGGCAGTTCTCACACATTTCTGTTTGCCTCCAGCCTGACAAGAAGTGCCTTTTGCCACTTTCTGTCAAAGACTGAGTGTCAAGTTTCTCAAGAACAAAGCAGCAGAGGTAGTAATTCACAGGTGGGCACCTATCTTGTCTCTGGCATCTTCTCGTTACTTGAGCTTAAGTGACTTAAATCCGAGTCTTACATTCTCAAACCCAGCTCAACATCAAAATCACTAGGAATTTTATAATATTCAGAATAGGAGTGATAGCAGAAAGTTGCTTTTTTTTTTTAAGACTCAGGTGATAATCTCATGTATAGTCAGATTGGGAAACAATGGATTGGAGGCATAAATTATTCCTAAAGTGCCTGTCACACGAATGATCAATAGCCAGGTGTGCTGCTGAAAATGGGATTCTATCTTAGCAAAGGTGCAAGAGTAAGGGAAGCATGCGAAAGGCATGGTAATCGACATGGAAGCAATTACATGACATGCTACCACCCCAATCCCAGTGGAAATCGCCAGTCAACTCAGAAAGCAAACAAGTAAACTGCTGGGAGAGGATCTCAGCCCAGCTTTCCAGGATACTGGCAGTGAAAAGTCCCAACATTCAGGTATGTTGTTGTTAACTCTGAAAATGTCAAGGAACCTCAGAAAGAGCTGACAGTGAAGCAACAATGCCTGTTCGTTAATGTTACTTGAAAAGTAGTTGAGGACATACTGGCCACAGGCTGTCATCCTTGGCATAAGCAGAATTGTCCTTTTCTAATTCTTTTGGGATTTCCCCTGTACCAGCAGAGGCAGGGATGCCCTCATCACCCCTCCTTGTGAGGAAGAAGACCTGTATAGGGCCTCAGATGGACTTGGACGGTTCACCCTTTCCAGAAGGAAAAACTCCAGAGTGTCATGTCATCCCCCTTCCCATGTCTACGTGGAAGGGGAGTCAACAAATTCTGCAGGGCTCCAGACTCAGGCCCACGAGCGCAACTCAGCACAAAGACCATACAGCACAGATTGGGGTTCCAAACTCCCCACACAGAGCCTAATTAGATGCCTAACCCAATGTTCTAAAGCTTCCTGGTTCATTAAAATTTAAACGCAAAAAGGCTCCCAGAAATGAATCCTATAGATAGGCTGTAATACATGAACAGAGGTAGGTACAAAAAGGCTTGCTGTGTTGCTGGAACAGCAACAGATACTGGACACTCCTAAATGCCCACCAACAGCTGCCTACTTCTACTTCTACTAAGAGGCAGCAGAGTAAGGGTGTGAAAACTTAAGACAAACCAAAAACAAGTCACAATTTATCGGTAAGAAGATGAACAAAAAGGGAATGTCTCCATACAAAGGAAGGGTGACTTTTTCATTCACAAAGAGATATTCCTTGTAGTGTTCTTGCCAAGTCAAATCTCAAACAGCTTACTTAGCGAAAATTGTTCCAGAAAGACAGGTAATCTTTAAGATAATACTTAAAAACCTATCAGTTTCCTAATCAGGTGTAAAAGGATTTAGTGAACACTATGCCTTGAACTGAGGGATTCTAAGTACTTGTCACCTTTAGAAAGAACTACTGCCCCAGACAGCTGAGTTGCAAAGAGAGCACAAGACACTCGCTCCTTACCATGAGAATTCTTCTTACACATTCCATGAGTTTCCACTCCTGGATGATGAGGCCACAAGAATGACACCTTCTAAAATTTTACAAGTCAGCAGCAGAACCTACAACAAGGTTTAGATTCTCCCCACCACAGAAATCCAACATGGGCCCTCCCCAGTGGCACAATGGGTTAGGGCACAGCACTGCAAGCTGGCCACAGCCACTTTGGTGAAAGTTCAATCGCCGGCCCTGGAGGTGACCCACATGGCGCAGCAGACCTCTCCTGTCTCACCCGCTGCTCCCCTCAGCAGTGTACTTCGTTGATCTGCCTGTTTCGCGCTGTGTCTCTGGTGAATCCTTTCACCGCCCCTGCACCTCTGGCCGGTACCCCAGTTCTGTATGTATTGAATAAGTATTTTTTAAAATATTCAATGTGGGAGAGCTGCCCCCAGACCCTTCCTTCCTGATATGAGGCATGTTACTGTTTGAGGGAAGGGGCCAGAGCAGTCAGACTGCTGGAGCACAATGTTTCCTGAAAAGAAGCTGGTCAGAATGTTCCAGATCTTTTTAGCTGACTCAAAGATGGCAGGCACTCAACAGTGCTCCTAGCAATCTGCTTTCAGAAGAAAAACATAAAATAAGAAACTGTGTGAAACACTGTAGCCTTCAAAAACTTTTTATTTGGAGACAAGCCTCACTCTGATGGAAAAAGCCCACACATGAAAAAGGGGCTGTGGGCATTCAAGCTGGTCTGATGTACATTCACGACTCAAAATAATAAAGATCCTCAAACACAAATGATTCCAAAGACATTCACCCTAAAGTTATGTGATTTACTTCGATGCACTCATGTCAGCTCTTACAAAATGATCTACAGATAGAGAAACTGCATCTTCCTCAGAATTCATTGAAGCATGTGGGCGTTGAAGAGGGGGATGGGGCCAAAAAATGACAATTTAAATAGGGTACAAAGTTCTCCACTCTACTCAATAAACATATCCAAGATGAGAATGAAATGGGATCAGTGTTCCGGTGCCTCTCAAAGACAGCAGCACAGGCTGTGGCAAATGGAACTTTCCAGATAACACGATCCAGCTACTCTGGGTCCGCACGAAGCTAGTATGCCCTATATTAAGAAACGCAAAGGGATTATACCAGCCATGGTCTAATCCCTGTCCAAGATGCAGCTCCTCTACAGTTCTGATCACTAAACTTTGGGGAAAAAACTGCTTATAACCACCCTCATGCCTCACTACTACCCATCTGCACCCATCCCACCTGACTCAGAGGTGGTTTTTTACAAAAATATCTGAAGAGGTGGCAAATGGTTGCAACTGACGTCAGGTCACAGCAATTCCACAAGCTGAGAGAGCGCTTCGTCCACTGCTTCAGTCTTCTCCCCTATTGTCACAGTTCTGCCACCAGAGGGGGAAAAAATAGTGTGAGCAAATTTCTTTGTGAACAAGCCTTGGCAAAAAGTCAATAAATAAGAGAGCTTGTCAAAGGCAGAATCATTTCAAGGGCAACCTCCTCTAGTTGCAAATTTGGGGGCTGGGAAAAGGAGGAGGGAGACATGTGTGCAAGAAAGAGGTAAGAATGCCTTCGACAAGGGTTTGGTGACTCAACCCCAATGCCCAGCGTGGTGCCAGCAGACAGGGACCTGCCAAAACCCATAATTCAAGACGGAAAAGGAAGAGACAACACCACAAAATATAGTCAGTTCTGAAATTTGCACAGTTGACATTTGTTCTTCATAGCAGTAAGGACTTGAATGAGAATCATCAAACTTGAGGAACACGTATATTTTTCTTCAGGATTTAAAAAATTTTGTCTTGTACTGAAAGATTACATTCAGCGTGGGTCAGGTCCAACAGCGTTAGCTAGAACTCAGCGGTTAAGTGCACCAAAGCACTGGGAGGAAACTTCGTCTGGACGGAGTGGTGGGCGGGCAGGCCAGGGGCCGCGCCTTCACTGGTCCCCAAGCCGGAAGCCTTGTCCCCAGTTGTGTCTCCCACCTCCACCGTTCTGATCAGCAGCTCGCCTCATGCTCGCTGGGGGCACACCAAATCCCGACACCCCTCCTCTCCTGCTGGGCAGCCAGCGGTACCTGGAGCAAAGCGCGCACAGGAAGAGAAGACAAGAGTCACCTTCACAGGGTCATCCCAGCCAGGCACAGATCCTGTCCTGGTGTCCTAGGCACCTGTCACGGTGCACTGTCAGTCAGCGGAACTGTGTCAGCCGGCAGGAGGCTGGAGACAACGCCTCATCTAAACCTAGCTCTTGGGCTGGGAAAGAATGCTAACCAAACAAACGTTCTTTGGCATGTGTTCAATGCCCTGACCACAGAAGGCCGTTACTTTTTCTGTTTACTAAATTTACTAAATTATTAGGTAAATCCGCACTCTAAAAAAAAAAATCTCTTCTTGATTTTGAAAGTAATTCACGCAGAACAGCATGGAAACCAAAGTACGACAGCCCCAAGACCAACCACAAGAAGAACCACTGACATCGCAAATCGAGGTTATCTACACACAGATAGAACTGCAGCAAAGGGTTCAAACTTATTCCATTTTCAAAGGAGAAGTCCTCAGCCCGTGCCCTGACGATGAGCATCTCCATGACGCCGTGGGTTCCCAGGTGTCCCGCAAGGGAGCATGGAGAAGGCAGGTAGGGCCACGAGTTGGGGGTGCGCTCCCCGGGTTCTTCATGACCTGCCCTCCAACTGCGCTCTCTCCAGCTCATGGAGGGTGGGAAGGCGGAGGCCCAGAAGGTTAGTTAGTTTCTCATCTTATAGACTTCATGAGATTCACAGAACAGGTGAGGAAACTTAAGTCCGGGTCCGCATTCTCACTGATTCCCTGCTCTGCTCTCAGTAAAACCGAGATGTGCAGAAACCTCCTCTACTCACACTCCCTCGTGTCTGCGATGCTGTGAAGGCCGACATCGCCGTCTGAGAAATGCTCACTTTTCAGTTATGTTTACTGCAGTAGCATTGGCACATTTAGGGGCACAGGCTCACACCTCTCCGTCTGGATGCTACCATACCACCACCAGAGCTCCTGTGACCCTCCACACAGACCACCCCACTGCGCCCATTCCCAGCCTCTGGCCCCTACTTCCACCCTCCCTGTCTGGTGTCCTTGGTTCTGCAGTCAGATTTTACAGGGTATTTTGGTTTTGTTTGTTCTTTACTTTGTGTCTTATGTTCCACACGAGAACTCGTCCAGCTGATACCCCTGTTGAAATCCCTCACGGTACCAAAAGCAAACCAGGAGGGGTGACCTGCCTACAGCAAAAGCCTGCTGACCACAGCCCATCTCAAAGGGGTGCCGTGACACCAGGCGCTCCTGTCTACACTCACCTGTGGATTTAGACAGTGGTGTGTCAGTGCACCCAGCAGTGCCCAGGAGATCAGCACTGCTTTGAGGACTTGTGCCTGACAGGAGGACACTGAGGCATGATCGAGGGAAGTTCTTTGAAAATGATGATCAGGGCTCACCCAGGTGGCTGGCTCCAGGCTCCGCACCCTGCACTTCTCATGCACCGAGACCTCGTGCTGCACCGGGACCCCGGAGTGGCCCCAGCAACAGCAGTCACTGACCAGAGCCCTCCCGTATTGACAGTGTCCCTCATACCTTCATGTCCCCACCCCCAAAAGATACAGAACTCCTTGCTTTAGGTCAGAAAGATAACTAAGCAGGGGAGAGGATCTCTGTACTTTTCTTATGAAATGCAGGGCAGTGAGACATCTTAGCACTTATAACTCACATCTTCTTTTAACAAGGACCATTTTACATAAAAATGTGTTCCAGTGCCAGCTGCTCAACATCCATGACATTCTGGTACAGTAATATTCCTCTGAAGGATGCAATAAAATAGAACACCTAAAAGAGGCTTCCCTTCCCACTCTAAGACAATATGGAAGTGATCTCTACAGTTTAAGCGAAGAGTGAAATTAAATGCAAGTAATTAGTATAAAAAGACACCCAATTATACATAATCAACAAAAATTTATGATAATTTCAAAGCAGTTACTGCTTTTGCAAGGAGCTACATTTGTCATCTGATCTTTATGCAAAATTTAACAGAAGGGTTTCCACTAACAGAGAAAGCACAAGAGGCAGGCAGGCTCCAGCGGGCGGGGCCCAGCGGCCAGATCTCCTCTCTGGGCTGCCCACGTGGGCGGGCGACCCCGACATGTGGAGACCCCTTAAGTGAGAAAACAGTCACTTAGTGGAAAATAACTGTTGGCTGTCCCCCAAGGCACCAAGTTCTTTTTTTTTTAATTGACATATCTGCCATCGGACTTGCTAAACCAGAGCAAACACCCAGCCTGCTGTTACTGCCCTTCTGTGATTACCAAGCAGACTGGTCACTTGTTGTTTTAGCCTGACGGTGACGTGAGTCTCTGCTGAGAAACCCGCTTCTTCCACCCCCACCCCCTCCACCCTTTAGGGGAAAAAAATTCACTAACAGAACTGTATTTCTCTGAGTGTTATATTTTACAATGAAAGTCTTCCAAGAAGCGAATGCAGTGCACATAGACAGACGCTGATTTAGAGGGCTGTGCATGTGAAGCCTCTCTGTTGAAAGCCAGTTATTCCAACTTTAAAAAATGTAAAAAAAAAAAAAAATCCTACTCCTGATCAGAGTAAAAATAAGACCTGCCCCCAACCTTGTTTTGTCGGGGCAGGGGCTTATTCATGCTTCACTGCCCCCAGTGACCTCATGGAAAAATGACAAACTGAACATTAAATTGACGCTGTGAAGGGCTCGCTGCTCTTTTCTGAAGCTTTGATCAAGCTCTCCTTTCACATCCCAACAGGGGACGGCATAACCAGAGGGCAGGCTGCACCCCAGAGGGAGCACAGCCCCAACTCTGGGCACAAGGCTCAGGGCTGGTATTCAGTGTTGGTGCCCATCCCAGGGTGGCCCCGTAGCACAGGACTGCTTCAGCTGACAGACTGGCCAACTGAGGTTCAGAGATTTTATTGTCACTTTCCCAAGACTGGTAAATGAGGGGAACAGGATTCCCACCCAAGTTCTGCCTCAAAGCCAAAGCTGGATCCACCACCTCCTCCCTTCAGTAAACCCTAAAAGCAGAACAAGGAGGTATTCCCAGAGACTGAGACTATATACAAACCTCAATGTCTCATTTTAACTCTGAGAAGTTCTGGAAACGTTCTCTTCTGTAATATTCTGTTCCGTAATCTCAAAATGTTTAAAACTGCGAACCAGTGAGTTAACCTGCCCCCAACCCTTTGCAGGCTATGGTACACTGACGCTCCAAGAGCACACAGTTATCCTAGCCCTGGGCACTCACAAGTCTCGGCTGCCATTTCTCTAGCAGACAGGTAAGCCCCACCCATTCCGCACCAAGCTCTTGTTGTTAAACAAGGGAAAATACACTTACAAAAACTGAGGTGTGGATAGAAAATTTCTTCCTCCCAAGTCCATTGGGTATCTGAACATCAGGAAGAAATAAAGATGTCCAACAAGATTTCCGATGAGCTCATTGATTACCCTGTGAACAAAGAACCACATTAAAGACAGTCAGGCGCACATGAAATGCAGCAGGTCCTAACAAGACAGGGAAGAGGCCCTTCTGGCAGCCTGTGGCTGGTCCTGGCAGTCGGGACTCTGCACCATCTACCCAGTGGTAATTTGAGTGGCAGGTAAACCCTGAGCAGGAAAATCTGTCCTCTGGACAATGAGGCCTGTGCTCTTCAAGGCCAGAAGCCCCTCTGACAACCCTATTAAGCTCCAGCCCAACTCAAAATATTGCTTTTGGTACTTTCTACCTCAAGCGCTGACAAAGTTGCAAAGGAAGCTTTTGAACACTTTCAGTCATGAACCCTATCTCTGCAAACCACTAGCAGTATGAGGGCCAGCAAGAGAGCAGCATGGGAGTCAGGCAAAGAGGAACAATAAATGCCTGTTCACCCTTCCTGCAGCCAGCCAGCAGCTCTCCCTCACCTCTGTACCTCGGAGTGTAGACACCACAAAGACCACTGAGTAGGCTAGCCTTCACCTTGTCATCCTAAAACAAACATCGACTTTCTTCAGTTTTCCCACGGCCTCACCCACAGGTCACTTAGACACTGATAAATCTGTTACCGATTCATGACCTTCGTCTCTACACAGCACAATCCCTAGCGGTGACAAATCTGCATCTGCAGCTACTCCCTGACACTGCCCGTCGGGGCAGCAAGGAGGCTTTACCAAGCTTAAACTTGCTAGGTACTGCAGCATCTGTTTGCTCACTCACTCATTTCTCCCTAGCGGTGCAGAGTAGTAACGAGGAAGACACAGAGCAACTATACCAGCTATACCAAAAACTAACATTCAGTCCCTCCCTGGTGGCGCAGCGGATTAAAACACAGCCCTAAGAAGCTAAAGCAACTTCCACATGAGTTCGATTCCCGCCTGCCCCGGAAGTGACCACATGGCGCGGCAGACCTCTCCTGACCCGCCCGCTGCTCCCCTCGGCAGTGTAATTCATTGATCTGCCTGTTCTGCTCCCCACTCTGTCTCCAGTGAAGCCTCTCATCGCCCCTGAGCCTCTTGCCTGTACCCCAGTTCTGTATGCACAAATAAATCAATCTTAAAAAACTAGCATTCAAATCTTTTGAAACGTTAAAAATACTTTGTAGTAAAAGAAATGGGAGCTCAGCGTAGCTGCGCCTTGAATACTCCTTTTAAAATTCAGACTGGGTGCATTAAAGGTTTCCCTAGGTCACGGTTATAATTCCAGACCAAAAATTTGACTCAGTTTGTCCAAAATTTCTGTACTTTGAACTACCTACAAAACTACTTCCCCCCTGAGGGTCTGCATTTCTGGGACTGGAGACCAGTTTTCAAGGCATTCTGGAAATGCCATAAGAATAAAAGACATAATGGTTTTATGCAAAGTTCTTAGAGGAGTCAGACACCAAGCTAACAAAATAACAATCACTCAAAGCTAAAGTGCTTAAAGCCAACCCATATAATCAAAGAAGGAAGATAAATAACAGACAACTTCCAAGAAGTTGTTTCCAATTGAGTAAATCTAGTATCACTTACGAGCCGCCGATGATATAGTTGAATCCAAGAATTACCCAGGGTAAGTAACAGGCCTAGGAGGAAAAAACACACAAACATGAACAACCAGACCTAAAAAGGAGACACTATGGGGGTACTGGCATGGGTAAGGATGGACTGGCATGGGCTTTCTAGAAATCCTTTGGAAAGGCACTGCAAAAATGTCTCAGCTGAATCTCACGTCATTCCTATCGCACTAAAACTTCTTACCTAAACCTAAGACAGTTTCATATAGTAGTAACTGCAGACCCAGAATACTTGGCCCCTAGTTCTGAGGCAATGCATCCCCACTGAATTAACATCAACAAATAGCTCCAAAAGTACATGGGTGTCTGATGGATGCTGACAGAAACAGCCCATGATAGAATCAGTGAGACTCCAACTAGCAAAGGGCTTACCAAGCAACTAAAAATACCCCCATCTTTTCAGTTTCTCCATTTACATATTTCACAAAGTTACTCATTACACACTGTTACCTTAACTAATATTCCTCCAAAAAAAAAACAAATACACTCGGCAGCTGAGTCCCTTGCCAGATTCAAGACAGCACAACCCAAGCGAAGGGAGCTGCGGACGCGTCACCAGCTAGTAAGAAGGTGACACATGAACCGCTGAGGACAGAACGCGGTCAGGACTGTCGGGGCACAGAACCCCAAAGGCAAGGCAAAGTCCAGGCAGGAGACTCAGGAAAACAGCGCAATACCAGCTCAGAGTAAGAACAGGTAGGGTTTACATGAGAAAGAAAATAAAAAAGATGTTTCAGCAGGGCAACTGTGAGAGAAGGACACAAAGGGATGAGTTGAGGAACAAAACATAATCTGTGAAAGCCGAAGTACAAAGAGGGTGACAGAGAAGAGTTGAGAACAGATTTTAAAACGGTTCCACACAATTATCTTCCCTTCCCTCTCTCTATCGCACATACACACGGGAGCTCCGCCGGCAACACAGGTGTGAGGGGCCGGAGGTGCCCAGGGAGCGAGGACTAACTGCCAAAAAGGACTGTGTGGGCTAAGGGAAGGGCGAGGGAGTTCGCCTCTGGTCCACTGCTCTGCAGTGACCTCTTCTGGACGAGTCGGAAAGTACACCTTTGGGCAGAAGAAAGGGGATTTCTGAAAAGGCAAGCAAAAAGCACATTTTTTCCAGCTAGGTTAAAGTACCTTAAATCTTGTCCCAAACCAAAATGATACAATCATGTCTCTGTTCAGTTGGGCCCAGACATAAAGCACTGACATGATCAGAGGAATCATCAGCAGCTGCAAAAGAAATCAACATGTGAAGACCAGGCCCCAGGGACCCCCACAGCCTGCTGAGTGCCACCTCTCCCCCCACAAGTCCTCAAAAGGCAAAACTTCAACTCATTATAACGAATGAAGCTTTGTGTTTGAGTGGCCACACAGCATGTGCTACAAAGCCCTGTAATAAAGCAATGTCGTGATTTCACATGGATTCAGATGCATTAGGGCCAAGCTCTGTTACTTGGAAAGAGTTAACAGTGTTTCTACTTACTGTATAATCTCAGTTTTTGTATGCAACTCCAAATACATGCCTGGAAAATACTGGCTAATGATTATTCTCAATATTCAAACATCACAAGTCAGAAACGAGGAGGAACACTGACGCTTTTGGTAAGTCATACAAGAGCTTCAGGATAAAATGGCTGGATGCCATCATTTAAAAATCCCACATTAACTGTGTGAGTGAAGGGAGGAGGGGCAGATGGTGGTGGGGGAGAATGACAGTGGACAGCGGTGGAGCACTGAGAGGCTTCGGTGTGGGAGAGCTACGGTTACAGCACCTGCCGGGGAACCACACTGTCAAAATACTAGAAAGAATGCAAAACAATGGTACTTCATTAAAAGTAACAATAAATAAGTTTTGATGCTTTTAAAAACTAAAAATATCACACAACTAGCCACACAGTCAATACCATGTAAACTTCCATCAACAGCCATTAACAGTAAATCTGAGACCAAAAAAAAAAAGGCAAATAGAGAGTCTCAAAGGACACGTACCTGCATATCCATGGCTAGGCCAGTAATCTTGGTTTGTAAAGTTAAAGATCAGATACAAACAAAGCATTCTGCACCTAGCAAAGTTGGGTTCTGAAGGAAAACAGTTTTTCGTAGTTCAGGTTGTTTAAAGCATCCCAGAACGTAGAAATGTCTAATAATCTTCATGGTGAATGTTCTACCAAACCACACGATGACAAGGACGTGGTGGGAGCCCACGGCTTCGCCCCGACTCAGCTCGGGCCCCAGCACCATCCCTGACTAGCCTCTTGGGTAGGAAAGGGAGTCCCCTTGCCCTCAGAGACATTCAGGCTCCACAGCATGGCTCAAGCCCAAAGAGAGTTTTCTTCTTCCCTGGAAGAGGGAAAAGGACATCCAAAAGGCCACATTTCCTGGTTCTTGGTCAAGTTTCACACTAAGCCCCCAAGAGATCCGGCCCACCAGCACTGCACAGGGCATGAGCCCTCACATCCCCTCCACAGCTCCTGCCATCTGTAAAGGTCCAGGTGGAAGGGGCAAGGGTGCTGGGCACACAGCAGAGATGGGCTGTGTCCTTTCCCAGTCCCTGGGGACTTACAGGGACTGAACTAACACTCAAGTCCCTAAGACAAGGACAGCAATGGAGTCAGAGAAGGATGCTGGTTGCGCATTACTGTTAAGGCCACAGATTTCAAAAGCTGTCTCGTGGCGCTGCATCTCCGTGTGCTGCCATCAACAAGCTCTCACACACAAGGAGACAGAGCACGAGAAACGCGACCAGGGAACGGGGATAAAATTCTACCAAGTGTAGAAAAGTCCCAAAAGACAATGCCAAGTGAATGTCACACTCAGGGGCTGCAGGAGCTGCTACAGCTTTTCAAACCAACGTTGGTTATTCTTAATTATTAACTAATATAAAAGTGTAAATGCTGGTGTCTGAAATCTTGTCCAAAATTCTCTTTCCCCAAACCAAGGGGGAAAAAAAAAATTGGCTTATTTCCGGCCCAAAAAACAGGCTGAAGGATACCACGATGCAAATCCAGTTAAAGAGGAGCATGAATAAATAGTCTGCTGGCCTCCCATCAAAAGCTCCTGGAAACAAAAACAAGCCAAATGTCATGGTTCAGAATTTCAGAGCAAAATAACTTCTATGCAGAGAAACACTTCCAAAAATTAGAAAGACAAAACGGGAATGTTTTTAAGTCACTCAATTAAGAGGACACTTTTTTTTAAATATTGAAAGCCAGGTTCTCTAGTCACCAAGGAAGGTTAACCGGCGCTCTCCCAACCAAGCACCAGTAACAGGCTCTGACAGCCAACAGCTAGCATGGCCCAGAGGGAAGACAGTCGAGCCCACCACTACTGAGACCTGCCCCTGAGGCCCCTCCTCCCTAGGCCTCTCCCTGGTGAGCCTCCTCTGGACCTTGCAACACAATGTGGGGACCCATTGATCCTTTCTCCCTCACTAGACCACTGGCTGTGACCAGGGAGGAAGCTACTGTCGCTTCTCCTCCAGCAGACTCTTCGGGAAGTGGTGGCAGTTGAGACTAGTGGTGGTGATGGTGGTAAACACACGCTACCACTTGTAAGCACTGGGCCTCCTGAGAAGACTGAGTGTCCATCTTCCAGCTGATGCTCCACAGGGGAAAGAATGTGGGGAGGGTGGGGAGCATAATGACAGCCAAGTCTTCCCAAGGCCCCTGTAAGGTGAAGAGCCCACATACACCCCCTTGTGCAGACAGGTTAATAAAGTGCCTGATCAAGGTCATGGTGGTTAGAAAGTGATGTCTAATCACTGGCTAGGAGATCCAGTCACTACACTGTACGCCAGGCAGTCTCATTCTGGCACAACAATCAACACCCTCCCAGCGCGCCTTTCTGAGGCCGAGTCCTCATGCTTTCAGCTGAAAGATGAGAAAATAGGAAGAGAAGAGAGAAATGACTGAGATCATTCTAGCTCAGCCACCTCCCTCCTCTCCACATCCCATCCCATTATGTGACAGTCTATAAAAAAGAAATTCTTAACCCATTTGCGAAGAAAATCTATCTGAAAGAAAAATGGGTCTCCAGCAAAAATCCTTCCTTTGCCCTAATTTCTTCCCTACCAGCTCAAAGGCACATGCTAGCCACAGTATCATAGCATTTCACAGGCACTAGAAGGCAGAAATTCTAACAAAACTTTGGAATTTAAGTAATAGTGGAGCTTTTCTGCATGTATTTTGGCTTTGTGACGTCTAAGGATTCTTTTGCTTGAGGACCAAGATATAATCACATAAACTGCTATACTGCATATACTGTATTATTTGGCCCACTCGAAACTAGGACTTTGCAAATTAACTGGCCACAAACTGTGGTCTTTTGGTTTCAACTGGAAACTACAAATAAGCCAATATCGCCACTTAGCCGGGCAGGAGAACATGCAGGTGGCAAATATTTTGCAAAATGTAATCTTGAGGCTGGATGGTGGAGAGAAGACTGGGAATCAGTAAATCTGGGGTCCAGTCCTTGCTCGCTGTCCCCAAAAGCACTGAGACTTTTAGGAAAAATCACCATATTTGCAGATCACTGTTTCCTGTCTATGAAACAAGAGGGCCACACTGAAAAAGATCTAAGTCTCTCTCCACATAAATGTTCACAGCATCATTATTTATAACAGCCCAAAACTGAAAAAAGTCAAATGCTCATCCACTAAAGAATGGGTAAACAAAATGTGAAAAATACACAGAACAGAATCTTATAAAGCAATGAAAAAGAATGAAGTGCTAATGCATGTGAGGTAGAAAACATTAAAACCCAACACTAAGAAACCAGTCACGGCCCTCCCTGGTGGCACAGCAGGCTAAAGCACAGCACTTAGAAGCTAAAGCCACTTCAGCATAAGTTCGATTTCCCACCAGCCTCGAAGGTGATCCACATGGCAGGCAGACCTCTCCTGACTCGCCCGCTGCTCCCCTCAGCAGTGTACTTCGTCGATCTGCCTGTTCTGCTCCCCACTCTGTCTCTGGTGAATCCTCTCACCACCCCCTGCACCTCTGGCCCGTACCCCAGTTATGTATACATAAATAAATAAATCTTTTTTTAAAAAAAGTATTAAAAAAAGAAAAGAAACCAGTCACAGGAGCCCACATACTGTATGATCCTGTTTATCAGAAATGCCCAGTTCAGGCAAATCTAGTAAAGAGGCAGAAAGCAGATTTGTGGGTTGCCCAGGAGCTGAGCAGAAAGGCGGGTGGCGGCCAGTGGGAACAAGGGGACAAAGTGTTTCTTTTCTGTATTGTTGAAGTGCTCTAAAACTGACATGGGAAAGATTACACACCTCCGCCAATAGCCACTGAATTGTATACTAAGAAGAGTAAACATGGATGGGAGATAAGTTAAACGCCAGTGAAAATGTCTTTAAAAATGCCTCTCAGCATCACAAATCAAAATGCTCTGTGACAGGATGGTAAAGAATGAGGAGCAACTTCTGAGAATGACAGCAAGCCAGAGCGGTTACGTGTGGGCCTGATGAGCCCACGTGGTGCTCGTAAGTGTCATTCAGGTCAAGAGTCTTCCGAGTCAGCTGTGCTAACTGGGCAGCCAGCTAGTGGGATGACTCAACAGGTCCGAGGACCTTAAGTCACCAACAACAAGACAATGTACAAGTGAAATGTGGTCATGGAATTGTAACAGAAGCACATCGCTATGATTCGTTGGTAAGGCCTTATATTTAGAGGTAAATGATAAAATGGTTACAGATTATGCTTCAAATAATGAGATGTCATTATAGAGAGACCTCAAAAATGAGACAATTGGCATAAACACAGAAAAAATAAGACGAGCTATAGGGTAACTGGTCAAGGGGAGTGATGGTGTTAAAAAGGGGCTCATATTGATGAACCCCAAAGCATCTGCTAACTGAAAGAAGCCAGCATTAAAAGCTATATAAAACGTCCCAAAGAGGAAAATGCAGTCACACGGAGAGTAGGTTAGTGGTTGCCAGGGAGTGGGAGGAAGGATGGAGAGTGGCTGCGTGGATTTTGGGGGGACGATGATGTTATCTGCAACAAGTTGTTGGGTGATGGTTGCATAATGTGGTAATATGCTAAAGACCACTAAACTGTACACTTAAAAATGACTACAAAGGTGAATTTTCTGCCCGGTTAATTTTCTCAAAGAAAAAAAAAAAAGTTCATTAACCTTTCTCCCTACTTTGTTTTATGGCATCATTTTTTTACAGAGGTAATGTTTATTTACAGCACAGTATATAATTTAGAGGGTAAGTTTGTATCTGAAAATTTTTCATAACAGAAATTTTAAAACTTGTGCCAGGATATCCATCCTCAATGGAGCACTTATTACTAATCTAAAAAAATGCTCCACCTGACCTTCCAATTCTATCAGAGGGACAGATGGCAAGCAAATCAGCACCATAATAAGGTCCAGCTGGGAAGAAAGTGCATGAAAATCATATATTCTGGAATATATTTAAGGCAATACATTTCCTTAAATTGAAGGAAAATTACATTTGACACCAAATGCCCATTCTTCTGTTCCCCTGCAGTTATAAGACTGATTCACAATCCTCAAACTGACTTAGAGCTAAAAGTTCAGAATGCTCTAGCCTAAGCTACCCACTAGCAGATTTATACAGTCTCTGAAGTCAGCCAAGCAGCTTTTCAATATCATTTAGGTATAACACAATTATACTCCCATCTTGACACAGCAGTATTGATTTATCACATCTCAGTATAAGCAACTCAAAACTCCGTAAGGTAGTGTTGGAAGTAACAGTTCAGTAAGAAATCTTTAAGAAAATATTTTTACAAAGAGCCCTGTCCTTAATATCGGATAGCTGGGTCACACTTGATAAACTATCCTAGTATTAAATCCCAGCTATGTATTTTAAAGTTGAGTGTTTCCATTACAGAGAGTAAGTTCAGGTTTTTGGCCAAAGAGTATTTTCAGCACCATCCTAGCAGATACATACACGTCAGCCCAACTGTGCACTGAGCATCAAGGGCTGCTGTGTGACAGAAATGAACAAGATGTCAAACTAGGTGACAAGAACAGCTTGGCCACCAGAGGCATGGGTAAGATGTGTGAACCTCCAATCTTATCATTTTTTCACCTACAAAATGAGGTCACTGCTGCTTACATCTCATGATGAGGCTGTGAGGGCTTCGTATTGATTATCTGAGTCTGGAACAGCGAAACACAGTTACTGCTACTGAGCATTTACTTTGTATGCCACTTCCTTATATGTATTACCTGCACTCAGAGTTCCGCTGATAAGTAAACACAGGATTACTACACTAGATAGAAACAATACTTAAAACAACTATAGATAACATACCTGTTTCGAGTCGTGTAGAATACTGATACAAGAAATATAAATTGACCAAATAAAGAAATCCAGTTCCTGGACCCACAGGGAAAAAAAAGGTGGCAGTGATTGGCCTCCAAATCTGTCCAGAACAAAATAAACACAAGTGTTAGTTTCTTTAAGCCTGTGATTTTTTTTTAACTAAAGAAATTAACCTTTGCAAATAATTCTGAATGACAAGTTACCAAAGGGACATAAGGAATACCAAGGGATACCAGGAATACAATTTAAGAAGAAAATTGTATTCACGTAAGAAATCTTTTCTTCAGTTATAATCATTCCAACTTGCAAATCAATGGTATAAAGTGACATCATCAAATAAGCAATCACTAGTTCAAAACAAATTGAAAAATATATATATGTAGAAGTAGATAGTTAGTCCTTCCTGAGAGCAGACAGATGCTGAGAACTGTCAAAACCAAAGAGCAATTTCCAGCGGTGCAGTCATGATTACTGACTTGCAAACTGGTGTGATTATAATTGGTATGAGCTTTTCAGTTATTTTCTTGGATTTAGGGAAAGAGTATAGTGTAGTGACAAACCTTGTCAAAAAATATATTCCAAAGCTAGAAGTAAAATAACAATTTCTTGCTCAAATCATCGTGCTCTGCAGGAAATAAGGAAACCTGACTTAAAACACTACCTTCCCCCCAACCAAAAGAACCAACCTCCAGAAGAGTCTAAGATTAGAGAAGCAAGTCTCACTCCAGAATCTGTCCCCAGTTCCCTTTCCAGCAACAATGCATCCATTTCGTGTACAGATTTCCAGAAATAATAGTGTGAAGTACTGTGACCCGCTCCCCTTTCATCCTGCCCTACATCTGCGCTGCACTGATCGAGTCCTTTTTCTACTCCCGACAAGATAGCTTTATTGGCTTCATTGGCTTCATTGTGCCCTGCCTGTGGCTCGCCAGACCTCATCTGAACTGTTACAATGCCACAATGGGCATTCTAGACTCTCCTCAGGGGTGTGCATTCAATTTTGGCAGATACTCTAAATACCAACAAAATATGTGACCAATTTTTACTTCCTCCCAAAAGGCAGATCAATCTGTGTTCTCACCCTCACCACCTAGTGTACTTTCTATTCATCAATCACATTTTGAAAATGTAAGCATTCCTTTCTTAATTGCTGGATTTGCCTTTCTTTATATAGAAATTTTACCTTTTAACGTTGTAACAAATATCTTGGGGGCTGTCATTAAAATTATGCTTAAAGAGACTTTCTGTCATACTTAATACATAAAAAATTTCATTTAGTGTAGGCAAAGTACCCATCATGCATTATACTTCAGGACGGTGCTCTTTTACACTGTTTACAATCCATCTTAAAGAACGAGGGAAAGACACAGCTTATTTTCCCAGATGGTCTCTCACAGTTTTTCTTGCAGAATAAGCCAGCGTTTCCCCATTGATCTGAAAGGCTACTTTTACCACATATTTATTATTTTATATTAAGGTTCACTTTTACACTATTCTGTCCAGTAAAGTGTATTCTTATACCACTACTAAGCTTTTATATATATATATATATATAAGATTTATTTATTTGTGCATACAGAACCGGGGTACAGGCCAGAGGCACAGGGGCGGTGAGAGGATTCACCAGAGACAGAGTGGGGAGCAGAACAGGCAGATCGACGAAGTACATTGCTGAGGGGGGCAACGGGTGGGTCAGGAGAGGTCTGCCACACCATGTGGTCACCGCCGGGGCAGGCGGGGATTGACCTCATGCGGAAGTGGCTTTAGCTTAGTGTTGTGCTTTAACCCACTGCACCACCAGGGAGGGCCCTACCAAGCTATTTTAACTTCCAATTTAATGGTATGTTTTCATATCTGGAAAAGTGACATAATTAACCCACTTCCCACTTTTTGTGTATATTTCTCACGACTTTCTTGACTAGTCTCAGTTTTTTTTCTACATTATAGAAAACCAACATCATTATTCTATCAATATGACAGTGATAGAATTCCCATCAAGAAGTCTTCTAGAGCTTCAATGATTTTTTTTTTAATGGAGCTACTGCGTTCTACCTTTTCTTGTATCTAACCAACAAAGCTGAGTTGTACTATTGTTTGTAATATTAGAAAACGGAGCCTCTTGGGCTAAGTTCTAAGTATATAGCTCTACCTGTACATCAAAGCGTGTGTTGCATTCCGTTCTTGTCTAACTCACTGGCTAAGATGCCTCCAGAGCAGTGTTAACAGAGGCTGAGGTAGGTGCATTCCCAGGCTTTTGGAAAGGCCAGTGTAATGCTGGCCTTGGGCTTGCGAGCTAGGTGTCTAGGAAGTTTCAACAGTGGGGAAAGTTGTGCCAAAAAGCAAAGAGTAGGCACAAAGAATGGGAATCTTGATTTTGGACAAATAAATAAAAACTCCCAAAGAACTACAAGTGCACAGTAAGGACAATCAGCGAATTGCTAACCACCAGGATGTGGTTGGAATGGGGATACTGGGTGGTGTGACAGGGCTGACCACACACAAAAGGGGCAAGTTGCATTCTGCAAATATAGGAATGTGATCCTCGGTGCTTAACTCCCCTAGAGGAAAATGCACATCACCTGTCCAGAAAAGCAACTTTCCAACAACCTTGTATTAAGGGAGAAAAACAAGAGGTTAAAATTAATTTTGGTTTATTTACAACTTGACCGCAGAAACAGGACAGTCTTACGGAGAGAGCACTGGAAATGATTTGAAAAGATGTGGATCTAAGTCTGAGCTTCCAAGTGACCACTAATCCCTGAGCTCTGGCTCCTAGGTGCAAGGGGAATGATACACTATCAATAGCACTTGCCCTACTTTGGATAATGGCGAAAAACATACAACAGTGTGCTCTTTTGCTCGTTTACAAGCACTGACTCAGGAGGTAGATTTTATAGACAAGGAAACAGGATGAGAAGAGGTGAAGTCACAGTTGTAGGTGGCAAAGTTAGAATTCTGTCCCAGACAGCCTGACTCCAGGGTTTATGCTACTCAACTCCTATTTTCACAATGCCTCTCAGAAGGAGCATCATTATTAAACATAATTATAATTAGTTAAAATTCTCAGTACCACTACACTTGGAGAAGGCTGAATGCGCTGAGGCACTCCCCTGCTTGTGAGAGGCACTGGGAGGTTAAAGCCAGAAGCCAGACAGCCCTTGGCCTTGGCCAAGTCTGTGTCTGAATCTGTTTCTTCCTCTACCTGATAGTTTGTTCTATGACGCCTGCCTTATCTAGCAGACTTTGTAAACTGGTGTGAAGGTGAAATTAAAGCGGTGCTTTGTAAAAAAACAAAAAAATTACATGTAGGTATATGATTAATACAATTTTTTAAGACTCATGCTGACCTGGTTTTTACAACTTTAAACTTTAAACTACTCCTATGTTTTTCTCTAAGTTAGTCAAGACCTGAATTTGGAAAAGAAACCGCCGTTTTTTTCTGACTAACACAGACAACACGACACTATTTTTAGCCACTGTGCACCTGTTCTTTGGAAATCAGTGTCTGTCAAAATACCTCACTCCTTTCCTCGTTCATTAAGCTTACCCTTGAGGTATATTTGCTCTCATTGATCTAAAAGACTTAATATTATTTTTGTATTACTTTAAAATTATAATGTGAAAATACCAGGAGACAGCTCATCTCTTCAGAAGGAAGCAATGGATTCTATTTCTGAAAACCCCACTGAAGGTACCCAATCAAATCCCCTCCTTTCCTTCAGCTGATGGTGAATATTTAAGATAAGGAACTGGCTTCATTTCCCCGGGCTGGGAGAGGTGGAGGTTCCATTTCAATTCTAGGACACCTTCACTGATCCCCTAAGAGACAGCCAGCGCAGGACAAAGAGCCAGAGACCTGTAGGCAGAAGGCCACGGGGAGGAACATGGCATTTTAACCCGGCAATCCCGAGGCTGGCACCAGCATCACCCCAGCTATTTTATGAGGAGAGCTGGGTCCTCATTAGAGTCTGGGTAAGCCGCCCAGAGTTTCTCACCTACCAGGGCCAGAGACCCTCATGTTCACTAGCATCTAAAATCTCTAAAAAACACAGGACATTGATCTTTAGTCACTAGTCCAACAACTTCTGTTGAGAAAGTAGGTTGCAGCCACGCTTGAACTAACTAAAATCTCCCAAACAATCTGCTACTGAAGTAGCTATAGTTGCCACCCAGAGTCAGCTTAGGCTTTTAGCGTATCAAAATCAGATTTTTCTCAAACAGTAAGGAGTAGCTGATGTGGAGTCAAGAAATCTTGTCGACCTTCTCTGATGGCCAGGCAAGGAAGACAGTGGTGCAAGGACATGCCACACGATTATTAGCGAAGTGTGGCCCTTCATTTTGGACACACCAGGTAGGCAAGAAAAACAAATGAAAGGTATTCAAGCTCAGCTGAGGAACTGACAAGAGCTATTCAAAGCCATCAGTCTACCCCTAGGGTCACACAGCAGAAATGCGCCCCAGTGTTCACAAAGACATGGCACGTGACCACAGCAGTGCTCTTCATGAGGGCCCCAAGTGGAAGCTGCCCAGAGACCTGGTCCTTCACCCCGAGACAGCACAGGGCTGAGCCATCTAAGCCACATGCAACAACACACAAACGAACACAAAGGGTGTGATCTCAATTACAAAAAACTTCAAAACCTCTATGTGTTTTCATATATGGTGAAAATATCTATGGCATGAACAGTCAAGAAACGAGTTACCTGGGGAGGGGACAGAACCAGAAAGGAGAGCAGCAGGAAGGTTTGGGGGAACAATGAATGCTCTGTTTCTTGAGCTGGGTGCTGGTTGTGTACAAATGCTCAGTTTCTGAAAATTCAACATGCTGTAAACACACCTTGTGTATTATTTAATACATATCTTTTCCTGCTTGTACACAGTAACTCAATAAAAAGTTAGAAAATGAACTCTGATCTCACCGGTGACCTTAGCTACAGACTACAGCAGAACCTCCCGCTGTGGACAGGAGACTAAGGAGAGGATTTAAAGCTGCACATAACCCTAGTCACTAACCCGACACCCAGCCACACCCAGCCACACCCAGCCACGACTGTGGAACACCAAACCTTAAGGCTATTTCTACACTCTGCCTCCAGAGTGATAACAGCAACAATCTAGCATCAGGCCCAATCACAAATTTGACCAGTGTCATTTCTTATTACTCCTGGAAAGAACCAGAGAAATTGAGAGTTGACATCTCCCCATTTCAGGTCAGGATGCTCTTTAAGACAAAAAACAGGTAACACTGCAGCAATGATATTTCAATTTCAGTTACAAATTATAACTGAAATATTAGTGCCCAAGGAGAACAGGCCACACGGTGAGGATTATTATTGGCTAAGAAATTAAAAGAGACACCATTTTTAATAATTTATCATTGTATTCTGTGAGTTTTATATAACAGAGGCATGAAGCAGTGATTCCTTAATTTGAAAATACTCATTTTTGTGTCTTGCCTTTGTGTTTCTATTAGGCTGTGTCTTACAGTCTCATACTCACTCAGTGTAACTTCTGTTTTTCCCCCTCCAAAACACTGTACTAAATGGATGGCAGATGTCATCATCAGTGGAATTAGAACAGAACTAATTAATGCTTAGAATAGAGTTTATGTGGGTGTTAAATTTATCCCCAATTTTTGGTAAAGAAAGTGAGGTTCAGAAAGTTAACTTGCCTAAGAGGCCACAGCTAGGAAGAGACTAAGCCAGGCCTGGAGACTATGACTCAATCACTAGAAATCTTTCTATTTTAACAGAAAAAGAAAAATAATATGCCACAACTAATTTCAAAGAAGTCACCTTAAGAGATGTTGTTATACCTAGGTATTCTGGTAGGTATTATGCAAAAGAGTTAAACAAGCGATCTTCAACTCACCAAAAGTGAAACCAGCACTGCAGCTGTCTACAAACTGGCAGAACACTGACCTCAGGGTGACTGAAGAATCTGAGTGGGAAAACATGGAAAAGCACAGTACTGGCACTATCTCACCCCAAGACATGAAGTAGCGGGTGCAGTCGTGGCAGGGATCTCATCTCAGAAACCACGAGGGGAAGGCAAAGTTCTAGCTAATCAGGGCCCAGCCTGAAGGCACTTCACCTGTGGGGTATCTGACCGGTGGCTATTCGGTGTGACCCATACGGCGCCCTGGGCCTCTCCACCTGGCCAAACAGAGAAGTTACGTTTTAAACTTTGGGATTCCAAAACAGCACGCCACTCAGAGGGAAAATATACAGGAGAAGGAAAAGGAACTTGTGCCACTTCCAGTGTGAGTGCACAATTCTACATCAATCACATCCAATTTCTTAAGCAGCCAAGCCCTGGCCTCTGTGGGTAAGATGAGCCTTCGCAGCAAGCGCACCACATGCCGCACACAGCAGCCCTCATCTGCAGACTTTCCTCCAAATGCTCCTTTTGCAAAAGTCCAGGTGGTTCTGAGAGATGTTCTTGCCCAAAGTGGGAAGGAGCCAGAGGAGCAGAAAGCAGAGACACCTGTCTTCCACAGCAGCCAACTGTGACACAACCTGCCTCTTGCCCACAGTTCTCCTCAGCTTGGGGGTAAGAAGCCCACAAGAACCAGCACAAGGAAGTCTATCATGAATGGCGACTTTCTAAGCACTTCACTGCTTTACTATTGCCATGCTGTTTTTTTATACACCGGTACTCTATCACAAAGGTTTTCTTATTTGACTAATCCGACCATAAACTGCAAGAGAGCAGAGTTTTGATTCGTTCCTTGTTCCATTGCTCTGTATTACCCCATAGACACTGGGTACAAAGGACACGACACCCGTCCCTGCATATCTGCCAAATAAATAAAACACAGTGCGTGATTCAGGCTCCAGACCAAACCCCAGTCTTGTGTCCAAGTGCTTATTCACTTCTTTATTGCCTAAAAGTCACCTCTAGACTTCACATGGTCAAAGCAGAACTCTCTCCCAGCTCCCAAACAAGCCTCTCTATAAATTCCTAATCTCAATAAAGGCCTCTGCCATCCGCTCAGGAGCTCCTGCAACAGTGACATCTTTGGGTCCCTCTACCTTCAGCCAATCCCCTTTCCTCTCCATTCAGGTGCAATCTTGCCCACCCTAACTCCCAAAATCTATCTACTTCTATCTTCAGTCACCCTGGTCCACACCACTCTCTTGCCTCCTAAACTGACCTGGCTTCTGTGGTAAGATGAGCTACGCAGCAAGCGCACCACACGTCCCCTAGCCCTCAACCTCCCCCCGCCACACATAAGCTCATTCAGCCTGGTCTTCAAGCTTCATGCCAATCACCTAGCAATTCTCATCTCTACAGCTGACCTCTACTAGCAACCCAGCATTGATTCTAACTCCTTCCTCTAAGCTTTTCACTTACTAGTCCTTCTTTGAAGAATTTGTTCCCAGGCCAGATCTTCCTTCAAGCGGGTTCCTCATACTCAGATTTCAGCTCAAAAACCTTTTCTGAGGCTTTTGTAACACGCTTCCAGAGGTACATACACCCCTGGAGTCACTCCATTATTTCCTTCATAGAAATTTGGGTTATCACTGTCCTGCTCACTACTAGCACCCAGTACCCAGCACTGGAAATTGTCCAGTCACTTCCTTGCATTCAACCAAATGCTGTGTGCCAGACACTAATGCAGGTGTCAAAAACAATGATCAATGAGACCAAGAGCTGGCTTTCATGGAGCCTTATTTTCTGAAGGGAAGCAAACTCACGTTACCAGAGGGGAATATGGAGCAAGAATAAAGGAAGGGCGTTATTTTTTGTAGAGCAATCAGATACGGTCTTGCCAAAAAGATATTTGGGCAGAGACTTGAAGGAGGTAAGAGGGTAATCATGGTTACCCTCCTTGGGCAGAGAATAGCACGTGCCAAGGCCCTAATGCAAGATCAAGTTAGTTGCTGAAGGGACAGTGAGGATTTCCACTGTGGAACCTAATATGCAAGCTGGAAAAGGAGGAAAACAGGGCAAAGTCAGGGTCTTGCAGACTGCTGAAAGGATTTGTATTTTTCTCATCAAACTGAGAAGGCATTGGAAGGTTCTGGACAGAGGACTGACAGTACCTGATTTATGTCTTAAAAGGTAATGCTAGCTGTCTAGAGAAAAGACTGAAATGAACATAACTAAAGGAAAATGAAATGAGATTATATTTTGGTTATACATCTGAAGTACAGTAAACAGAATCTGCTGATAGACTGAGGAGTGTGAGAAAAAGAGAAGTCAAGGATGAATCCACTACTATTAGCTTGAAATGTATTTTTAAAAATGGCTATTTGCATGGGAAACCCATGGGGATTACAATTGAGATGAAAAAAAAATGTGAAAAATGATGTAAAAATAAACTTTTTAATAAAAAAAAAATGGCTATTTGCTTTTAGGGCAAAGGGAGTTAGGATAAGGGGATAACTATTGAGCATCCAAGTGGCAATTTCAAATAGACAGTAAAATGTACAAATGTGGAAATCACGAGACAGATCTGGACTGAGAATATTCATACTTGTATTAGAGGGTCTTCATTTATAGAAAGTATTTAACATCATAAAGCTATGTAAGATCACCCATAGCAAGGGACAGAGAATGTAGAGAAGTTATCCCTGGAGCACATCACAACATTTAAAAGTCAGGCAGATAAGAAATATCCAGGTAGAAGGAAAGACAGGGAGTGTTATCCACAGGCAAAAAAAATGTGTTGAAATTAGTGTCAGATCTTACTAACTGACATTAAGCCACATTTAAACCACAGAACCCAAGGAATAGAGGTAACCTCCAGGAAATGAACATTATCTGACTTAAGAAATTATCAACAATAAGGTCTTCCATTTCTTCACTCTTTCATACATGTAACTACTACATGCCAGATACTCAGTCAGGGCCTGAGGGGAAAGCAGTTAACTAAATTTACTCTTTGCACCTCTGACCTCTGACCTCTACAGAGAATAAAATCTATTAATATGAAAAGAACCCAAACTGGACGTTGGGCGAGTTGACATCTACAAGTCACCCACGTGGTGTCAGAGAGAGGTCAGAGAGCCCCTACTCCACCCTGGCAGCTGATTACAGGCTTCCAGTAGATTGACAACTCTCACAGACTTACCTTCCCACTGCCTCCGTCCCTGAGTGCAATGGGGGGAAGCGCTCCCTTAAAATCAGTCTGTCCCCCGACCCTACTCCCACGCCTACAACAGACCCCTTCGCCACCACCGGCCCGGGACTACAGGACCCCACCCTACAGGGCTGGAGACACCACACTACAAATCCCACCAGGCACAGCGCTCCCGCCACACTCCGGTCTACACGCCGCCGCCGCGGAGCCACCTGGGGCCTGTAGTCTCCACTCCCTCCGCGGGCGGTCAGTACCTGGAAGCGGTAGAGGAAGGCTTCGGGCCAGAGGAAGAAGTAGGCCGGACTGATGAGACCGAGTTTGCCGACCAAAGGCACCGCGACGGTGGCGGCGAACCAATAGCGCGTGATGGCCGGAATGCTCCTGAACCAGTCCCCGATGTCCGACATCTTCGCTTCCTAGGTGGCCAGGATGCGCACAGCCCCACCCGACACCCAGCCCTGGCCCCCTCCCGACGCGGCCGGCTGCGGAGTAGAAGTCGTCGCGATGGAAGCAGTCCAAGCTGCGGTACAGAAGGCGGAGACCGGCGGACGTGGCGCCACCGAATTCGGACGAGCGAGGCAACGTTCAGAGGCGAAACTTCCCCTTCCGGCGGCCGCGGAAGACGTCGACAAGAAGTCCCGCCACTTAAAGGGCGAGTACGGTTTGTACAACTGAGCCGAGCCTCGTGGTCCTGGGGCGGGGCTACGAGGAGGCAGGGCCTGGCGGAGCGGCGACGCGTCTGGCAGGAAACAGTGGTTGCCAGAGCAACGGCAAATACTGCAACCAATGGAGAGGCAGAACGCCCTCTACGTCGTAGTCCCTGGTGTTGTCAAGACCCGCCCACTGGTAGGGTGTTTAAAGCGGAAGGAGGAATCTCGCTCTACGTTTGTTTCATGCATTCCTCAAATGTTTGTTGGGGCTTATTAAAGACGAGGTAGGGTTCTAGACACCCGCCATGCTGCGGCTAACGGAGGCGTCCGGGAACTTCCGTTCTAATGGGAATAGCCAGGTAATGAATTATTGGATAATTGCAAAAAGTGGTAAGAAAACTAAGGAAGATGAAATAGGTTGAGAGGACTAAAGAAGTTTTCTCAAAGGTACAGGTGCATGAGAAAAAGCAAAAACAAAACGTGCACTTGTTTGGCAAGTATGTGTGGCAATATTTCTTTCTGGGTTGTGCTTTAGAATTCAGTCTGGAATTCAGCTTCAGGCTTTAGAAAACCTAAAGTTTAAGTCGCGGTTACCACACTTATTAACAATATCAGGTTGTAAAAATGACAAACTCTGTGCCTCGGTTTCTTGCACTGTTACTTCAATTAAAAATGAATAGGAAATCAAAAACAGTATTAGCTGGTGTGAATGGAGCTTGAAACAGTGTTCTATGACTGGAGGCAGAAGCAGCGGACGTCCTTCCTGTTAAAGGAAGTCTAAAGATGCAGGCAGTTCCTAAGCAATGTGTTTTGATTCCTTGTCCCCCTGACCAGCAAACTTCCTATGTCCTGGCCAGCTTCTCAGTGTGTGTGCATGTGTGTGTGTGTGTGTGTGTGTGTGTGAATAGAGAAAGAATGAAATACAGAATTGTTACAAAAGCTAAGAAAATGAAGCAAATTACTGAGTTCTTTGGTTTACAGTTTCTCAATGGCTGTTAGAGTTAACCGTGATTTTTTAAATATTTTTCCCAGCTTTGAGATATAATTGACATTGTGTAAATTTAAGGTGTACTATGTAATGATTTGATATATGTAACAAAGAAAAGGAAACTGATTGAATAAACTATGGTTTAGCCATATAATTGAATGTTATGCAGACTTCCTTAGATAAAGACACTTTGTATACCCCAAAGTGGACCAATTTCTTACAGTATTAAGGAGGACTGAGAAGTAGAAAAGATGATCTTAACTATATTTTTCTCACTATAATTGAAATATATTTTAAAAACTTAAAACATTGAAGGGAGATCAATAGTCAAGAGCTCAGTGTTGCATAACGCTGACACTTGGCACCGGGCTGCTGACTGATACCAGGAGACAGGGCTGATGACTCAGACATCATTCTGCCACAGTTGCCACATAGTAATGCTGTGCTAGTGGAATTCCTGTCACACAAATGGCATTTTTCTTCAACAAACTCAGAGCACATCCCAAATATGTAATTCATTCTGTGTTAACCAGTAGACAGATTCCTTGGCCCCAACTTGCAGATAAAGAAGCTATGGCAAAACTAATAACTTATCGGTCATGCCCAGCAGAACCAGTTCTAAATTTTTAGCCATGAGCTTGGGAGAATTGTTTAAATTTCGGTAGACTGGGCTGGGAGACAAGGGAATTACTCAACAGCATATAAAGCATTTGTCATTGTTATTCTGGATGTACACACATGTGAGAGATTTTGTATGTATGTGTGTCCTAAATAAAGTCAGACTTTTATAAATTACAAAGAATGATTCTGGATTTCAGGGCTTCCTCTTGCTGCTTGTGTGACCATGGGTAAATCACAAACCTCTTAGGTGACTCATCCAAATGGGAAAAATTGTATTACCTGCCACCTACATAGAGATGGTTGTTTCTGCCTTTTAATGCAAAGCCTGCTATTTACCAAATTCTGTGCTTGTACTTTCCAAACTCATGTCACTGAATGTTCACACTAACCCTGAAAGATATGTACTATTATCACAGAAAATGGAAAAAAAAAGATTAATAAATATACCCAAGTTGAGTTCATCTTCTAACTCCTCTACCTGTGTGACAAATATAAAGGTTCTTTGTAAACAACAAAACATTTCCTAAGTACTTGTTTTATTCTAATAACCATCACAAAATATCAGCACTCAGTGTTTCCTAAGTGGGTAAAACAAGCAGCCAAACCAGTTTATGTAGAAGTATTTGGACAAAAAATAATCTCTTTAATATCAAACATAACTAACCATTCTGCAAACCCAAATAATCATAATAATAATAGCCCAAGTAGTAATTATTGCTATTATCAATTTGTATCAATTCCTAATTTATATTCATAATCAGAATAAATAACAACATTCATTCACTATCTGCCTTGAGAAAGACCACAAGGATCTGAAATACCTTCCTTCTGAACCAAATGAAAAGAAAAACCTAATATTGTTGTCAGCGTGTGAAGTTTTGTTGTTTTTTTTTTTATGCACATAGAACTGGGGTACAGGCCAGAGGTACAGGGGGTGAGAGGGTTAACCAGAGACAGAATGGGGAACTGAACAGGCAGATCAATGAAGTACACTGCTGAGGGGAGCGATGGGTGGGGTGGGTCAGGACAGGTGGGTCAGGAGAGGTTCGCTATGCCATGTGGGTCACCTCTGGGGCCAGGGATCGAACTCATACTGCAGTGGCTGGGATAGCTTCATAGTGCTGTGCTTTAACCCACTACACCACCAGGGAAGGCCATGAAGTTTTTTTTAAGTATAGGATTCTTACCAGTTGGCCTTGAACCCAATTCATTACCCACGGTGTCGACCTTCCACTAGAAATACAAGACGTAAGGCAGAGACAAAACTCTGATAGGTGACACATCTAGAAAAAGGCACACTGACCAGGACTCTGAGCCAGTGCGGAAATATGAGGCCTATTTCCATCAGAATCAGGAAGGAGCTCATTACCAGCTTATTATAGAGAATACAACTCTGAAAAGCTGAAAGGAAGAGCAGCCTGGGCAAGTTATGCGGGAGGAACCCAGAGCTGCCATGTCTTCCGGTGGCACTCCCCTCTCTGTTCACAAACGAGAGCCTCAGAAGTCCTTCATTTAGGGCTTTTATGGTGGTTTTATGACATGATCATTAAATCACTGGAGGCTGGTGGTTGGCTCAACCCCCAAAGCTGGCCCCAGGAGACTGTGGGTTGAGTCTGAAAGCTCCACCCTCTGTTTTCAAGACTCATTTCTCTTCCTTCTAGTGGTCACATATGACAAACTCAGGTATAGATGAAAGGATCTTAAGAATAACAAAAGATGTTCCTCTCACCCCTGTCAGGAAATCACAAAGGTTTTAGAAGCTCTGTACTTGAAACCAGAGACAAAGACCAGAGACATCACAGTGTCACACAGCTGTTAACCAAAATGTAGAAAAGATCACTTTTTCACTAAAAACTTTAAGCCTGCTAAGAAACTAGATGTTAATTACTCCACCACACAAAAAAGAAATGATAATTTTTTAAGAGGTGGATGTATTTTCACTATAATGGGGATCAGATGGTGTATCAAATATATTTCAATTAAAATAAACTTTAAGGGTGGATTTCTGGGAGTAGTTAAAGTATATAAACAGATTACAATAAAATATGCTTTTAAGTGGCAATTAGTATTCAAAACAGAATTTGTTAATTATTGTGCTATGTTTGACTATTATTATTAGGATATATCTGCCTACTGCCTGATGATGAACATACCATATAATAGTGTATTATTCCTCTTCGCTTTTCAACTCTTTGTTCAATGACATCACATTGGTAGCTTGAAATTAGTTGTCATAGAGTATTTACACCACAGAAATAGCCAAATGCACAAGCAAGGGCATTTTGGGGGTGGGGGGTTGTTTGTTTGTTTGTTTTTTGTCCAAAGAGCGAGTTGTTGAATTTATTAGTGCATTACTCTCCTTAAAAATAGCAATAATATGGCCTCCATGGTGGCGCGAAAGGGTAAGTGTCAGTACTATCAAGCTATCGGGAGCCACTGCAGCACGAGTTCAATCCCTTGCCAGGAAGCTGACCCACATGGCACAGCAGACCTCTCCTGTCTTACCCACTGCTCCCCTCAGCAGTGTATATCAGTAGATCTGCCTGTTCTGCTCCCCACTCCGTGGTTAATTCTCTTACCCCCCACACCCTGGCCTACACTCCAGCTATTGTATGCGTAAATAAATAAATAAATCTTTTTTTTTAATAGCAATAATAAAAGCTACATTCACTGAAGACATCATTGTACTAGACACTGTTCTCACTCTACAACTGTTACTATTACACAGTACTATCTATATCTTGATTTTACAATGAAGACATTAAAGCCACGATTATAATAAGAGTAAGTCCTATATCTTTAGATATATGTATATATTTTCCAAACCACTAGTCAGGCTATAAGATCTAATAAATGTAAGTAGTACAAGTTTCTTGCTGTTCATCCCATTCAACTACTTTGCCTCTCTCCACACTACCCAGAGCATTGACAGAAGGCTGTCATGCTACCCTAGAATACTTCAGTAGACAGTAAATGCATAGCTCAATCAGCTCACCTTCCTCTGACACCACAGCCCACTGCCTAGACCATTGCTGCAGAACATAATTTTGAGGGTTTAAGATGTCCAGTAGAAGCTTTCTGAACTGACTTACACAAAAGTCTACATTGTATAAACAGATATCAATGTCTCTGGCATAAAATTTACAAGTAATTTTTAAAAAGATTTATTTATGCACACAAGAACTGGGTTATAGGCCAGAGGTGCAGGGGAGGTGAGAGGATTCACCAAAAAGAGAGTGGGGGAGCAGAACAGGAGGACGAAATACACTACTGAAGGGAGCAGCAGGCAAGACAGGAGAGGTCTGGTGCGCCATGTGAGTCAACCCTCCTAGCTGGGAATCGAACTCATGCTATAGTGGCTGTGGATAGATTCATAGTGCTGTGTCTTAACCCTTTGCGCCACCAGGGAGGGCTCAAAATTTACAAGTAATTTTTAAAATTCAATAGCCATGAATAGGGGGAACTATGGAATTAGGCCACAACCATAAACTGAGATCTTACACCGTTGAGGCTAAGGAGAGGTGGACTGCCCTTGCTTCTTAGGACAGTTGTGGACTTGGCAGAGGCTGAGAATTCCATAATCTCCTCCCCTCCAAGCGAAGCAGATGGACCCCAAAGCGCATTTTGTCAGGGAATAAGAAGCTTTATCTTCGGTCTTCCTCCTTCCCTTAGTCAGGAGCAGACCTTTTAAATACTGTAATCCACGTCATCAGTTCTTGTATGTGGGAATGACCTCGCTGCCTGTCAAGATCAGCCTCCGTTCCCCTTTGACATAGCATCATCTCAACTGTGGGTGCCAACTCCTTTTGATTGCACATGAAACACTGCCCTCGGGTGCTTTTCATGCATGTTTTAATGAGCACACCTAGGCATGAATATTGATTTAAGCAACCTGGAGCACATCCCTTTAAATTTTCATTTTCAGGTCTGACTCAGGTTGAAAGCGATGGAGAGGTGCGCTTTGTCACAACTCATCGGAATGGCTTCTGTCTCCCTTCCCCTTCTCACAAGCCAAACAGCTGAGCCATCTAGGAAATGACATGCACTACCAGAGGGAACAGCATGACACACACTTCTGTTTAACTAATGGAACAGATGAAACAGAACTGATCCCTTTGCGATGTCAGTTTTCCTAAATAATCTGTCACTAACCCTGGTTACCTGTCAGGTCACCTGTACCTGTGGGGATTTCTCCTGGGTGACTGACTTGGTTAATCATCACTTTTTGTTCCTCTCCCATGTACCTTCTGCCTCAAACCACAAATTCTTTTAAGTGATATTTCCACTGCAGTCTGAGCAATGTGTGTAGAATCCACGAGTTTCCCTAGGACCTTTCAGGGTAACAGTAAACTACTTAGAATGGTAAATCAGATCTTTTATATTCTGACTTTTCCATGTGTCTTGCTCTAATTCTCCTGCCCATCACCATACAGTAGTAAGGACACAGGGCAGCAAAGGGGCACTAAGCTGGCCAGGGACACAGCCCAAGTAGTCACCTGCATGCACAACTGTAAGACAACTCAGGCTCTAGGAACAACAACACAGGGACTTATTTAACAAACAAGGGAAAAACGATTTTGAGGCCCAAAATGGCCTCTACCCAAAGTCATATCCAGTGTTTCTCAGTCCTGCACAAAAGCAGCTAAAATGGTGTCTTCTGCCACTGAGCAGGCAGAGATCTTCTCCCAAACATTAGGCCACTATCTAAGACAGCTGGTATACATGCACCTTCTTCTGGTATACATGCACCTTCCACACTATAGGCCAGGTCCTGACTGACAAAGACAGCAAAAATACAACAGGAGAAGCTCCATGAGCTAACAAGATGCTGTTATGGAAGGCTTCGTAGGTTCTCAGCACTTCACATGCATAATGATTCCTTGAGCATCTTGAGCTTTATCTGCACTAAGTGCCTCTAGTTTCTAGAAGGTCCCATGTTACTTCACAACATGCCTGGCCAAGCCTCTGGAGAGAGGCTTGGCCAGAGAGAGAGAGAGAGAGAGAGACTCTTCCAATGCCTTGATTTGAGGCTCTGGACTCCAGAACTGTGAAAGAATATGTTTCTGTTGTCTTATGCCACCAACTTACCCTAAAGTATTACCACAGTCGCTGGAGCCCAATATACCACTTCACAGGACCCTAAAAATGGAAATACTAGTACTCCCAATTGTAGATTTATTCTGAGGATTAAAAGAATTGAGTTAATATTCATAAAGCACTAGGAAGAATGCTTGCTACCTAGTAAGAGTTGTAGAAGTGCTACCCGAATTTTTACAAAAAGGAACCCTTAAGGAATGCTACCAGCTGTTGATGACGATTGATTATGTGGTCGTGACTAGTGGAGTAGACACTATAAAACTGGAGCCTTTTGTTAGAGTATAGAATTGAAACAAAAATAAAATGACGATGGTGAAAAAATCAAGAAGGGTAAATGAGTAAATTTATACGGTTTTCTTTTTTCCAAAAGTTCTATAAAAGGAACCCTTCAAAACACTGATTGAAAAAGATACTTGTACCCCCATGTTTATTGCTGCCTTATTTACAATTGGAAAAACATGGAAGCAGCCCAAATGCCCAAAAGTAGATGACTGGATAAAAAAGATGTGGTACATATACACAATGGAATATTACTCAGCAACCAAAAAAGAGAAACACATGTCTTTGCAGCAGCTTGGATGGAGCTGGAAAAGATCATGCTTAGTGAGATAAGCCAGAAAGAGAAAGAAAAATACCGGATGGTTTCACTCATAGCAGGAGTATAATGGACCAGGCGAGAAAATAACAAAAATAATGAACAACCATATACCAGAGACATTCTGGGGGGGTGGAGTGGGGAATGGGATCAAAAACGGGGAGGGAAATACACGGGACTATGGTGGTGGCACACGGGTGATTTGGTGATGGGAAACCCGCGGGGATTACAATCGAGATGGAAAAAAACAAAAATGTGCAAAATGATGTAAAAATAAACTTTTGTAATAATTAAATTTAAAAAAAGGAACCCTTCAATTCTCCACCCACTGACCCCTTGCATACATGTCTGTACAAACCTTTAATCCCCAAATCAATTCAGACAGAAGGCAGGACCACCGGAGAAAGTCACTTGTATTGCCTCCATTGGGAACTTAACTCTGCCTCCACCGCCGCCCCGCAATCCTCCCAGAATGCAGAATTCTCGCCCCAAGCCTCACCTGCACGCTTCACTGGCAGAAAACTACGATTCCCAGGAGGCTTTGGGGCTCCGGGGCCGTCCCTCAAAAGGGGCGGAGTCTAAAAAAAATGGTCGTTGGTTGATGCCATTATTCAGAGGCAGAGGGGTCGCGTTGGCGGAGTTTTGGAGGGAACCCGCCTCCCGATTGGCTCGTACCCGAGAGGCCGGCGTCCTGCACGCGGTTGGTACGGCCCGCGGAGCCCGGAGCCGCCCGGCGGACGCTCGAATTTCCCGGGCCGGGGGCGCGGGGCCTGCCGGGAAGGCGCAGGGACGGTTGTCCTCCAGGCTGGCGGCGGCCGCGCGTGGGCTCCGACATGCAGAGCACAGACTTGGGCAACAAGGAGAGCGGCAAGATATGGCACCGCAAGCCGTCCCCGGCCACCCGGGACGGGTAAAGGCCGCGACGCGGGGGAGCGAGGCGGCGGAGGGCTAGGGAAACCGGGGAGGGGCGGGGCCGCGACTCCGGGCACTTTTTGAGGGACTGCTGGGGAGCATCTGGAGAAGGGGTGCAGGCGGCGGGGAGAGGTTCAGGTTCTGGCTCCGATCTTGGGTTGGGAGACCTCGGGAAGCGCAGGTTACCTGAGTCTCGAGGTGCCCCCGTCTACAGAGACCCCTTTCCCAGTGGTCCCTAGCACCGAGCGAGGAGGCAGGTGTCCGCCTAATGTACGGGGAAGAATTTGCGCTTCTGGTGAGTGCCACGATGGTGAAAAAATCGAGAAGGGTGAATGAGTCAATTTATACGGTTTTCTTTTTTGCAAAAGTTCTATAAAAGGAGCCCTTCAATTCTCCACGCACTGACCCCTTGCTTACATGTCTGTACAAGCCGTTAATCCCCAAATCAATTCAGACAGAAGGCAGGACCACCGGAGAAAGTCACTTTTATTGTCATCGTAGCGCTCCTACGGCGTTCCTGGCACGCAGTAGATGCTCAGTTAGTATTTAACTTTCGGTAGCTGGAAAAAGCGCTCTAGAGGAGGGTGGGGTGCAAGTCTACCCTTTTCCAGACGTCGCAGTTTGATCCATCCTTAAATCATTCCATGCATTCAAACATGCATTCTTCAACTATTTGTGAGCCCTACTCTATGCCCGCCTTGCTCTAAAGTCCCCTACTATGTGCCAGTCTTCTAAATGACAGCAGTGAAACAAAACGATCTTCCATTCTCTGGAGTTTATGTATTAGTATGTATTTTGAGAGCTGGGTGTTGCAGTCTACAGTACAATTGGGGGTTTAGGCTTCTCCGTTAGGCCAGATTTTGTTGCTACTGCTGCTGTTTTTGTTCGTTTGGTTTTAGTAGATTTAGTTAAGGACAGTTCTATGTTCACAGCAAAATTGAGAACAAGTCACCCAGGTTCCTTCCGCATCTATGCTCTGGCCCTAGACATGGATAAGTTCCCATTTCCACTTTGCTGCACAGAGCAAAGCTACAGTTGTTGCAGTTGATGAAACTACATTGACACATGTTGATTACCAAAAGCCACAGTTTACACTTAGATTCACTGGTGATGTCCATTCTGTGGGTTGTGTATCCACTCTTGAAGTATCACACAGGTATCACTCATGCCCTAAGTTTCCTCTGCTCTTGCAGATTCATGCCTTCCAGCCCTCCTTTCCACTCTGTTCGAGTCATCTGCCGCACTTGAGGCTCAGCCTCTCTCCAGTGTGACTTTAATGGAAGCTGTTGGCCCAAATGGTGCTGTCTCATTTCCAATTACTGCACAGAGGAGGATCTATTTTTTTCTAATTCCCTAGGATTTCATGGACTGGGCTGCATGGCTCAAGGTCCTATTTCAGTATACTAAGTGATTATTTTATTGATCCTTTGGTTGCTTCTCTGCTGATCTGTTGAGTGTCTAGACCATGATGCTAGATGCTGTATCAGCAGCTTGTTTGGTTCTGATTGCTGCCAGTCCCCTGAAAATGTCCTTTACTCCATTAAATAAAAAATGTTTTCTATGTTAGGGACTCTTCAGTAGGGATTTTTCTTTCCAAATATGAAGTTTACACACCACCTTTACTTCTAGTATTCATTAAACATTAAAAAAATAGTTGCCAACAGTTCTTTCTTGTTGTTATAAAATATCTAGATGCAAATGCATGATTCAGAATGAAAGCACAATCATTGTATAAATGTCCTTATTTGCTTTTTCTACTCAGACATAATTTTCTTTGCTGTTTATTAAAATCCATTGCGGTGGTGGTGAGAGCAGCAAGGAGCAGTGATTCTATAATCAAATGGACTTTTGTTGAAGTATATGTATGTCTACTATTCTTGTGACATCAGGCCAGTTAATCACTAAGTGAGGATTATCACATGGGCCAGACAGGGTTGCCTTAGGCCATGATGGATACTTTAAGATAGTATCACCCACAGCTTGGTATTCGGTAAATATTTGCCATATGTGTGAGTTGTGTGAAAAATCAGCAGACAGAATGTTCCCATTGAGTGTTTATGTAGAGGTGACAGGATTATCATCAGTTTTATTTATTTGTTAGCACTTTTCTGTATTTTCTGTATCTTGAACAATGATCATGTAATTTTGTTGTCTGAATACATAGTAAATGTTATAGAAAAAAAGACAGGAGGGAAAAGTTATTTGCTCTGAGCTTAAATGCCAAGGGAACATTTTGATGTTGTTACTTGTCATTTCAGTACATTTTTTTTTCTTCCTCTGGGATGTCAGATTACAACCAGAGCTGGACAATAGTTAAAGCAATAAAAACACTTTATTGAGGATTACTGTAGGAAGGCTAACAAGGCCTCAGTAGAGAACCACGTTCAATTCCAAGTCTAGCATGGGCAGGTAGGAATTTACAGCTAAAGAGCTGGATGGTGGTCAGAGGGTAGAAGCTAAAGAAGTATCAAGGGTAAGTTTTGGCTAATTTGGCCTATGTGAGTCCTGCCCAAGACAGCTCAGGGACATCACTCAATCGTCATCGTCTCGTGGTGGAGGGTGGGGATCCTGGGCAGATGTCGGGGTGATCAGCTCTCCATCATAGGAGATTTCCAGTTAAGCTAAATTTTACAAGGGTGCATAGTGGCCTGGGCAAACGTTCAGGAGCCTGACTAAAGTTTGATCAAAGAATGTTTTTCAGGAACTAGGTAAAAATAAGCACTGTAATAATTTTTCTATTTCCTTCCTTATATTTAAACAGAAGAAAATTTTTACTACATTTGATTCAATTTAGCAAGCTTTAATACAGTAATAATGGAAAAGATAGGTGTTTCTAATATTAAAATTTACAAAAAGTCAATATAAAAGTTTTTTATGATTTAAGAACTACTGTAATAAAGAATAAAATTATTTTGATCTTCATAGCCAAATATGCACTCATTACTTTAAGGAGTTTGTGCTACCATTTTATGAGTAGTTTTTTTTTTTTTCAACAGATTTTTGGTACATGATCTTCCTCTCAAAAAACAGTAACTTTAGGCACGTATAGTAAAATTCGCCTTTTCTTTTGTAAAAGTACTTACATGCTCATTAAGGAACATGTATGAACTGCAGAAAAAAACAGACAGAGGGAGAAAAGTCACTCAGAAATTACAGAAAACTGCTATTATTATTTGAGGGAGTACATTTATGTTTCCCCATGTTTAGGTTTTTCTGCTTTTTTCTCTCTCGTGTATGTTAATGAAAGATAACTCTCCCTTGTTAATCTTTCCAACAGCAGTATGACTAGCACAGCTTTGTAAAGAGTGTCTTCTCCAAGCACTTGTCCCTACCACAGTCATGTGTGGTGCCTGGCGTGGAATGCTTGCCAAGGTCAGGGTTAAGTCAGTGAGGCTGATGAGCAGACAGTGCTCCCTCCCAGGGCTTCTGGGGCTGTATTGGAGATGCAAAGAAAACTCATGTGCATTTAATTCACTTTAGCATACTCTGTATAGCACAAAAACAAAATCTCATGAAGATATGCTACAATCAGAATACTGACTTGAACTTTCACTTGTACTTGGTAGCTTGTATAAGTCTTAAAGGACTTTCTAGGAGCTACATCGTTTTTAGCAGGTGTCACTAAATGCAACAGTTTACGCAGTTGAAGTGTGTTGTCTTATACCCTGTTGTTGTCTATCATTTGATCATGATTTACAAATCTGTTTCTATATGTGTGCGTTTTTTAATGCCTGTCTTTACTACTACATTGAAAGCCCATGAGGGTAGCTGGTGTCTGTGTCTGCCAGTTACTCCTAGCTCTGGCTCGCTCATGTCTGCCACATAGTGAGCTCGAAGTCATTTGGTGATAGAGGAATAGTAAATGAGGGGTAAGTGAAGAGTAGCTACTTTGATAATGAGTAACTTTAGGAACTGTTTTCAGAAATCACTGTAGGATTGATTCTAGGAGACAGGAGCACCAAAAGCAGTAGGAGAGGGAATTGTGAAATAGCAGAAAACGTCAAAATTAAGGAGTAGAGGGAAAGTTCTGTCTTTCATGATAACAAGTAATGCTCACACTAGAATTAATGTGGTTTTTTGGTTTTTGTTTTGTTTTGGACAGAATTATAGTGAACATCGTTCATACCACCTCTGATTACCTTCCCAAAGTTTTGAGATTTTTGAATGTGGCATTTGATAGCTCAGGTGATTGTTTAATTGCTGGGGACCATCAAGGAAATATCTATGTTTTTGACTTATATGGAAACAGGTAAGCCAATACTTTTCAATATTTTTTTTTCAATATATTTTTAAGTGTTAATAATTTACTTACTGTTTTGGTGCCTTCTGTTCATTACTCATTCAGGAAGATTTGTTAAGTTCCTTTATATTTCAGGTATTTTGTAAAAAACACTGGCAGAAGTACTGACAAAGCAAGTGGAAAGGGTAGAAAGATAATCTGGTTAGGGTTTTTTAGAGAATTAAATTGCTGGTTTTAACAGTATCTCTAGTTACTTGTTTTCTTTATATTTAAAAACAAAGTATTGCTGACTTCTCAGTTCATGTCTGATACTTCTTTAGGCAGTTTAGAAAGTTCACAATTTCCTTTGTACACCATCGTCACATGTTCTTATTCTTTTCCTTTGCTGAACAATTTAGTTCAACATCATCTAGGTGGGATGGATTGAGGTGTGCATTGAGGTGTGCATTTGTGGAGTGCTGCAGCGGGAGGTAGTGAGTGGGGGCTGAGTTGGCCCAGACTGGGAAGCAGGTGGCGTCTGCATGGGGGTAGGGCAATCATGGAAAAGATGGGGTGGGGGTGCCCCAATAAGTAAACATTGAGGATAATGGGAAACGGGTTTCTCACTGCTAGAAAGGGGAACTACAAAGATAGAAAGAGAACTTGAAGACTGATTGGAACTGGCTGATATAGAGATATAGATACAAATAGGGGTGAATAAATACATACCGGCATTCCCTCATCTTGTGTTCTCAGAGAGCATGGGAGCAAGAACACCCAGTAGCAGTCAACCTAGTGCCCAGTTCTTGTTTTCCTAATGCCACTCTGCTGAAAGACTTCAGGGAGCCTTGGGTTTCAGGATGAAGGCAAGGAAAAGTATAAGATGACCCTGTCAGCCTATAACCAGGAAGAAGGAATTGTTCAAAGAATATTAGTGTGTTAGAAATACAAATAGTAGGCTGAAGGAGCTACATCTGACTATTGGAGACAATCTGAGTGTTAAAATAAATAATGGTAGTGATGGGTCATGACCTGTTGGGTACAGTCAACATCTGTGACTGTACTCAGCCAGCGTAAGTGGTTTAATGCTAATGGATATTTGTTAATCACACTAAGGGCTTCCTTACAAAGTGCCTGTTAATTACTGAGTTAAAAAGAGTAATGTTACATTGAAGAAGAACCCCACCTTAATCAAATGATTAAAGTTAATCTAACCAGTAGTGGAACAAATCAAAATTTATGTGCCACTTAATAGGAAGTAGTGAAAGGAATACGGCATCACTTCTGTGGTATTCCTGTCAGAGCCCTGTAACCTGGATCTGACGGGACAGTCGTTAGGTAAAGGTGAAGCCAGGGCATTGTACAGCAAAACCATCGGTACTCTTCACCAGGTCAAGGCTGTGTGAAGAAAGCTAACACTGAAGACCTACTCCAGGTTGGGCGAGACTGGAGACTTGACCAAGACATGATCTGGACTGTAAAACAAAATCCTTTGACTGAAGGACATTGTTGGGACATCTGGCAAAATTAAATGGGGTCTGAGAATTAGATGGTAAAAATACACAGGTGTAATTTTCTGATTTTGTTGGTAAAATTATGCTTGCATAGGAGAATTTCCTTGTTTGTGAGAAGCACAGTCTCAGTAAAGTCTTCTCAGATAGCTCAGGAAAAGAGATCACATCTGATTTGTCTGTGATTTACTGAGTTAATCTGTTAATCACTGTTTCTACTCTTTACCAAAAAAGTAGTAATGGTTCCAATTCTTCCACCTTGTGTTCTTGCTCCCCCGCCAATCCCCAGCCTTAAATCAACAGAACGGCCTTCTCTTTGCTCCCACTGTGTAAATAAAGTCATTGTTGATTGACATCATTACAGAATCGTTAACTTCAACATCATCAGTGATACTTAGCACCTTATTTTCTTGTTGTTACTTTTCTCAAACCATTACCTGTTTCCTTGTGTCCAGTGTTGCTCTGGTTCTGCTCAGCCTCCTGATTCCTGAGAAGACAGACTCCTTTAAACTTCCCTTCTTCTTCCCTAACTACAACCTCAGTGTACCTGTCATTTCAAACATCTATACCCCTTTGCCACTTTTTCCATAACGATAAGTGATCTTAACTTTTTAGTGCTAATCTCTGTCTTCTGAAGCCTCCCCTGGGTCGTTCCTGTTGTTTTATCCAGTCACTGTTCAATCGTGAATATTTCCAGCTGACCAAAGGAATAAATGGTAGCGCCGAGACTTGGCATCAGGCCTGTCTGACGCTAAAGCCCATTATACTGAGCTCCCTTAACATTTTCCTCTTTGCCTAATCCAGGGTCTCTGCATTCTCATCCTTCTAAAGTACTAAATACACTCGTCTTCCTCCATGTAAATATTCTTGTATTGCCCTCAGCCCTGACATCTTTGGCTCTGGCTTTAGATGCGATTCTTTCCTGACCTTTCTTCCCCCCCCCCTCCCCCCCGTGGCTTTCCCCTTGTTTCACTGACCCTGCTCCCATTGTGTGTGCCTGTACTGCTGCACTGCTCAGACGTGTCCGTGGCCTGCTTCCTTCTGTATTCCAGTGTTTTCCGGCCATCTCTCCTCCGCCAGGCCTCAGGCTGCAGTGGCCTTGTGCACACTGTTAACTCAGACCACCCCTCCTCCCACTGGCATCTTCCCCTGGGCACAGTGGCTGCTAGCCCGCAGAGCTGGTACGCCTTTCCAAGGTGCTGCTTTGAATTGAGCCACATATAGTGTAAAATACACACTGGGTTTTAAAGCTTACTATTAAAAAGAATCTAAAATACCTCCATAATCTTTTTATTGCTTAAATGTGAACTGCTATTTTATAGATACATATGGAATGAAATAAAATATATTAGGGTAGATTTTAAGATCTATTTTACCTGTTTTTACTTTTTAATGTGTCTCTTAGCGAATGTTAAATCGCACCTGTGGCCTGCATAATGTTTCTTTTGGACAGCACAGCTCTAAAGGCTTTCAAGGACTTAACACTCAACATGCTTAAAATCAGACTTGCTAATTCCTATCCCCAAACTTGTTCCTCTGTTGTCCAAGCTTACAAGCTTAATTTTTGGTAAGTTAAATTCTTGCTGTGTCCCAAGAACTCTGCTAAGCACTTAACATAGCATTTCATTTAGTCAGCACAACATGAGGCCCACAGGAACTCCTGCTTTGTCCCTCTCAGCCCGCTGTTTGCTGTATCACCAGTTCTCTCTCTGCTTGAACTTCTGATCTCTTTCCTATTTGTTCTTTCCGTTTTGTACCCTTAACTCTGGCTGAGATCCTCTGTCATAGCTTTCTGAATAATCTCCCCTTTGCCCCTCTATCTTTTTGCCATTGCTGTCAGAATCATCTTCCTGAAAGACAGGCCTGCTGATGTCTGCTATGCTTGAAGCTTAGAGTGGGCTCCCGTTCTGTGCCAGTAGCACCCACACCCCTTCATGTGCCCAGTGCATTTCTTGGTCTGTTTTAGCCACCAAAATGGGGGCTCCCTTTTCTGGGTTTCAGCTCCTGTATTTCTAAGGACTCCTCCAGCATAAAATGTATGATTATTGGAAGAATTTCTGATACTAATGCAGTCATCTCTTAATAGGTTTAATCTTGTTCAGCGAACAGCACAAGCTTGCACAGCTCTGGCCTTTAATCTTCGTAGGAAGTCTGAATTCCTTGTGGCATTAGCTGATTATTCTATTAAATGTTTTGATACAGGTAAGACGTCCTCATTTCTTTTGAAGCAGAGTAAACTATAGATTGAGTTACAGGTACAAGGATTTTGCTAATCTGTAGTCAGACCAGTTCCCCACAAGAAGACAAGCTTGGGGTCCCTGGACCATTCCCTTCTCAGATCAGCTATCTGCAAATTCATAATTCCCGCCAGCTGCCCTGAGGTTTGGTGAGTCACCAGAATGACTCATAGGACTCAGGAAAGCAGTATGCTTACGATTATAGTGTTAATGTAGCAGAGGAATACAAATTAGAATGCGCCAGATGAAGAGAGGCCTAGGGTGGAATCCAGGAGGCTCCTAAGAGAAGTGTCCAATGTTCCCAGAGACACGTTACCTCCTAGCTTCAGGAAGGGTCCGCTGAGTAATGTCAGGCCAAGAATTTGACACCCAGACTTTCCATTGAGGCTTTATCCACAGACCCAGTTGAGTGGATCATTGCCCACTTGGTTGAACTTGCTCTAGGCAGCAGGCGAGGCCCAGAGACCCAACCTTCTAATCAAGCCCGTGGTTGGACTTTCTGGCATGGCCAGCACCACATTGAGGGGCTCTCCTCAGCACGAACTAGCTGCTGTGTCTGAGGGACCAGCCAGGAATAACAGAGGCAGAGTCAGTCAGAAATTGCCAGGGCTTCCAGGTAGCCTCCCAGTGCCTCGACAGAAGCCATACTTCTCTTTGAAGGCCGCATGCCTACTACTGATGCACAGGAGTCGTGTATTTTTTTAGTAGAACCTATGTATTTTATACCATATCGTGATTTAATAGAGAACTTAAGAGTTCTAGAAATAGAACCACTTATGTTAAAGAATACAAGGTATTTTAACTATCATTTTCCCTTGTTACTAAAGTACTGATGAATATTTAGAAAGAAGCAACAATAGGAATAATGGTGATAACCTCTATTTATATTGCATTTACTCTTTGCAGGCTACTGCTTAATGCTCTAAGTTTCTTTTTATTATAATAGCCCACCGAGGTGGATGCTACCATTATCCCCACAGTGCAGATGAGGAAAGTGAGACGCAGAAGTAATTTGCCAAGGTCCCACGTGTTGTGTTCACGAGCAGAGAAAGCGCAGTCGTCTGCAGTAATGCCTGAGCCACCGCGGGGTCTGCCAGGGCCCGACTTGCCAGTTGGTTTTCCGTGCGCCCACTTTCTCTATGGTAGCGAACATGGCCATGGTAGTGACATTTAATGGGTCATTTTATCTCATTAAAAATCCATAACGGTGTATTTAAAATCAGTACCTGATATTCGGCTTCACAGGTGTTTGCAGTACTCTAATCATGTAACTGTTTCCAGTGGGTAGACTTGAAACTATTTCCAGTATTTGGTTTTACAAGCACAGTTGCCACAGAATTTATAGAAAACTAAGCCTTGATACTCCTCTGTGACGCCTCTCTGGCTTCTGCCTGTGGCTGCTGCTGGCAGGTCCTTCTCACAGTCTCCTGTCTGTCTGTCTGTCCTCCCACTCCAGGAAGCCCCCCCAGGTGCAGCCCACCCCACCCCCACGATGTGCCCCCCCCCCCAGAACTGCTTCCTCACAGCCTCCCCTGGATTCTCACTCCTGTGCTTCCCACTTTGTGTTCAGGGATTTTTACTTCCAAGGTTGTTAGTGAGCTCTGATAATTAAAATCCTCTGAACTTTTCATCCTCCTCCTTGGTAGCATTTGAAACTTTGGGTTAAACTTAAGAGTTTTCGTTTTCATACTTACTCTCTTAGTTCACTTATTTTTTTTGCTGCTTCTCAGTAGTCTCTACTGGATTCTTTTAGTGGTTCTTACAGTTGGCTTTTTGGATCTATTGGAAAGCAAAGGGAAGCCCCATTAAAAGTTGTCGACTTACTATTTTGCTAGTGGGAAAAAAACTAACTTCATTTCATTAAAAAGAGGGATTTTTTTTTTCCCTAACATAAACTTACAAGGAGTTAATACTAAAAGGGTAGTACTTTAAGTTTTGCCTTATGAGAAACTCGTTACATTATTCTTTTTTTTCTCATTTCACTGAAAACCAGTGAAAAATTGATCTAAGATTGATGTTTGCAAACCAGTGCTCTCTCCAACTTTGTATCTTCAAGGTTTCCCATATTTATATCTTGTTTTCTGTCTATTCTCAGTTCCATCTTTTTAGAGGAAAACAATCTCATAAAGATAAAACATGCCTACTATAGAAAATTTAGAAGTATCAGAAAAATAGAAAGGCACTAGTAGTTTTCTAGTCTAGTAATGATCATCATGATAGTTTTAGTATAAACCAAACTTAAAAATCAAATTTATTATTTCTTCACATACTGTTGCATCTGCTTCTCCTCATGTATTTCTTTTGTCAGTCAATAGTGTCATTGTCAAGTTACATATATAAATTAGAACCATTGAAGTCTTAACTCTCCCTTCAGTTCAGCACATCCATTTGGCCATTAAAGTGTTTGGTACTTTTCCTTTATTGCTCTAGAATTTGTCCCTTTCTCCATTGCTGCTTTCTTAGACTCTCCTTATCTCCTGCCTGGGTTGTTAGAATAGTAAACACATTAGTCTTGTCTGATCTCTTCACCCTTCTAATTATCCACTATATATATCTTCAAAGTGCTCTCTGAAACCCAGACCAGATGGGGCACTCTTCTACATAAAAGTATCACAGGAAAAAACCTAAAACTCCCTCGCATCCCATTAAAGCTTCTTATTCAAATCCTGATTTGAGCTCACCTCCTGATACCTTCACGAAGCACATTATTAACCCATAGGGCACTCTGGCAGCTAGCGATGGGCTGCCATTTCTTAGTTGTTAATGGAGGCACCTTATGTAATACCTAACCATCACTTGAATCACTCCTTGGATGATGTCTGGTATAATTGTATGTATAACTATTTTACTTTTTACCACAGTTACCAAGGAGCTAGTCAGCTGGATGAGAGGACATGAATCCTCAGTATTTTCAATCTCTGTACATGCATCAGGGAGATACGCCATCACTACTTCTTCTGATACAGCACAGCTGTGGGACCTGGACACGTTTCAGAGAAAAAGAAAGCTGAATATTCTTCAGTCTGTGGGGATACAAAAGGTAAGTGATGGCTCTCCCTGTTGGCGCAGCGGGGTAAAGCACAGCACTGTGAAGCTACCACAGCTACCACAGCGCGAGTTCAGTCCCCGGCCAGCAAGGTGACTCACATGGCATGGCAGACCCTCTCCTCACCTACCCGCTGCTCCCCTCAGCAGTGTATCTCAACCTCTCTGCCTTTTCTGCTCCCCACTCTGTCTCTGGTGAATCCTTTTACCCCCAGCACCTCTGGCCTGTACCCCAGTTCTGTATGCATAAATAAATCTTTTTTTTTTTTTTTTAAAGATAAGTGAGGGGGGAACATCTGTTGTGCTCCTTAACTTAAGTTTTTGGTCAGCAGTGTTTGTAGGTGCTATAAGAGTAATAATTTACTTTGTCCCCCAAAGTTGTGTTCTCATAACACAGCAACAAGCCCAGCAAAGTGGCCTGTGAAATTGAAAATGCTATCTAGGACTACAGTTTATTTATTTTTAAGATTTATTTATTGATGCATACAAGAATTGGGTACAGGCCAGAGGTACAGGGAGGTGGAGTAGGGGCACTTAAAGGACTCACCAGAGACAGAGTGGGGAACAGAACAGGCAGATCAACTGAAATACACTGCTGAGGGGAGCAGTGGGCGAGACAGGAGAAGTCTGCTGCGCTATATGGGTCAGCTCCCTGGCCAGGCATCGAACTCGTGTTACAATAGTGCTGAAACTTAACCCCATTTGCACCAGGGAGGGCCAGAACTATAATTTATAATATACTGAGCTCTTTTTTATTAGTTGTTATTATAGACTCTTATAAGTTGATGGTCTTTATTTGATTTCATGTTAGTCTTTAACACATTTTGTTAAGAAAAATTTCAAATTTACAGCAGATTTGTAAGAATGTCCCAGTGAACACAGGTATAGCCACCATCTAGATTTTACCATTAACACGCTATTATTCTTTACTGTACTTCTGTGTTACCTTGCAGTATCATGGTTCTTCCATCTGTTACTCTGTTCCTTCATCATCATTTTTTTTTTTTTCATTTTAAATTGCTGGCATCAGTATAATCATAACTACTTAACCCTGCATGCAAATGATTAGGGTTCAGGTTTTTTTCCAATATATATATTGAAATGCACACATCATAAATGTTCATTTAAGTTTTCACACCAGACACACACACACACAGATACACACACCCTCCCTCTGTTTCCTGTGCAGACCCATCATTGCCATCATCAAGGGCAGGTCTATCCTAGTTCTTCCTTTTCTCAACCATAGATTAATTCTATAGAGGTAAGAGATAAAATTTTAAACAGATAAAATTTTAAAATTTTTTCTATCTTAAAATTTCACATATGGAGAGCTCACAAATGGTATGTGAAAGTTTTTTCATTTGGTGTAATGTTCTTGTAATTCATTCATGTTGTATATATCAATCCATTCCATTGTACACAAATGCCACCCTAAAAATCCATTTATTTTGCTTATTAAGGTTTAATTTTTTTCCCAAATGATTAAATACTATTTTCATAAGTGTCTGAGTCTCTCATGTGAATAATTATTTTTCTGCAGGTAATATTATGCATGCAGTATTGCTTTTAGCTTCTCGGTTATTAACATGAAGAGCTAGCAACACGTGTCAACCAAAAATTTATTTTGTCTCCATGGAAATGTCAGAGTACTTTAGTTTGCCTTTCATAATTTAAAAAAAAAAAAAAAAAGAGCTGCAGCCAGCCAGTTTACTCATCTCGGATTTAAGCTAAATATCTCAGTAGATCTTTTGTCTTTAATTGCTTTAGTATTTAAATTGAATTATAAATTCTAAAGAAGGGAGCATTAGGAGTTGAGCCCACAGTGGAAATAGTTATGGAACAACGATGCAAAAGCCATCTGTCCTTTTTACCATGAAATTAAAATTAGTGTATGCTAGATAGTTGCCAACTCTAACCTTGCTTGGTCATTTAGACTTTCAGTTGGAAAAAATCAGGTCTCTAGATGTTAGTGAAATAGAATAAGATTAAATGTAGACAATGTATAGATACACAAAATATACACAAAACAGGTAAGTTTAGTATTCTAAAATAGCAGAACATCATAAAATTTCCAGCAAAGTTTTTTCCGAAGGGTCAGATAGTAAATAGTTTTGGCTTTGCTTACTAAAAGCTGAATGAGGTGTTTGTGCTTATATAACCATCTAAAATGAAATAGCATAAAAACTGAGTTCTCAATTTGAGATAATTGATGGTTTTAATTGTAACATTAAGAGGGCCTGAAGGCCTATTTCCTTGTTTCTTACAGCAGGTGAATAATATCCAAAAATGTAACCAAAACAACTATTCTCAGCTCCTGGGTTAGACAAGGATGGGCTAGTGGTAGCCACTCCTGGCTCACATCATTGAAAATAGGAAACAATTATAAACCAGTCTGATTTCGTATTTTAAATGATATTTATGACTTTTTTTTTTTTTTGATGACACACAAGACCTTTGACGTCTTTACTACACTTCTTATCTTAAGGTGGCTCTTTTGCTCTAAAACAGCCTTCTACCTTTTCTGCACCTGACATTAAGATTTGAGAGATCAGACCAGTTGTCCTAGAACATGCCCTACAGTCTGGGTTTGTCTTACAGTTTCATCATCGTGTCACTTAGCCCATTTTTTTCTTATCTCTGTGTCTCATAAAATAGAAGTTAAGTCTGGAGGCTTGAGTGGATTCACATGAAGCATTTTTGACAAGCTCTACTTGGTGCTCATAGTAGTAGATTGTTGAGTACTTACTGTGTACCGAGTATTTTCTTTAGTGACTTTTAAGCTAATTAATACTAAAATGTATAGATTACTATCCTCATTTTACAAATAAGGAGATTGAAGTTCCAGAACAATACATATCTCTTCTAAAGTTGCACGCACAGCTTAGTAGAGTCACAATTTTAATCCAGAACTTTCTAACTCGAGTCACTCCATTATACTATACTGCCTGTCATGCAAAAAGTCATACCTCTTCACATTAGCAAATTTTCTTCTCTTGAAACTTGAAAATAAAAATATTTAGCTTTGCAGTGAGGGATTTGAAGATAAATTCTGAAATTTTGGATTTCTGTGGTTTTGTATGTGGAAGAAAAGGTCTTCCACATACAAAGGATGTTATCTAAAGACATTTACTAAAGAGCATGAACTTCATTCAGTCTCTCTTCAGTGGGTACTTGCTGATTTTCTGCTGACTTGTATATTTGACCTTAAATTGCCCTTATTATCATTCTGAACTCTTTAATCTTTGAAAAAAGTTCACACTCCTCTCAAAAGTGTATTGAAAGGCCAAGGATTTTTGTATTTTGTAAGGAAAGCTCCTACCCACTGTACCCCACTCTCCTAAAAGTACATTTTGTTATTGCTTTTGAAGTTTTTCTAAGAGCTGACTCTGTCTAAATAACGACATGAATCATTAGGAACAATTTTATAATCATTAAAATCTGGCAATTAAAATCACAAATCTAGTAATGAATAATCATGTAGGCAATAATCTATCACAGCTATTCCCCTAAAATAGCACTTGATGCTCATTAACTTTTAAGCTTTTGCTTCTCCCAGTAGGAATAAACATTATTACTTTTCTAGAAAAATATTGCTAATTATCAAAAAAAATTCTAACTTTTTTGACATTAATTTTTAAACAGTGTTTAATACATTCATTGTAGATTGTAATGTATTCACTGCAGATTCTATAAGACCTCGGTTATAAATCATCCTCACATAATGAATCCGGTGGCACAAGATCTAGTGGAGATTGTGACAGTAAGCCAAGGGCATAGCGAGGAGCTGGATAAGGCAAGGGCATCAACAGCTGATGGAGTTGAATTAGCCTTTTTTATTGTTTTGTTAGCCTTAATCCCAAGTAGTTATTTTCATTAGGCAGCATGCTTTATAGTGTATTATGTATGTTTGTATTTTTAAAGCAAAAAAAAAAATTTTACTGCTGAAAAAAAAGATTTATGTGTAAAATCTTTTTTTAGATAAAGAGTTTATGACAGTTCATAATAATAGGCTACAATTATTGTTAGGAAAATTACAATCTTACAGGCGTATGATATGTTTATAGTCCGGATTAAACAGTAGAATTGTTTCCTACCTATATGTTTATAATGGTCCTGGTGGCAGTAACACAAGTAAGGTGCCAGGCCGCAGAAGTACTTCATACACTCATTGCAGCACAGGGAAAAGCCGTGTTGGGTATGGGTTGAGGCTGCTTTTTCCTTGGACAGAGTCATTTCTGGCCTGTGCTCAGTACTCCGCTGATGGCCTTTATCCACATACTGCATATCCAGTCCAGTGTTAAAGATGCCAAACACTTTACCCCCGAAGAGTGGAGCATCCCTGGGGGATCAGAGTCCTTCTGATGGGTAATGCTGAAGGTGTGTGGCCTGTCAGGCCTCTGAATGAGCGGCCACAAATTCTTAAAGGTCCTCTGCCTCCTCGTGGACTTCTACTCCTGTTTCCAGCACAGAAACAAGCATATTTTTCTTCAAATAATAGAAATAAAGCCGTGCCAGTAGAGTGATGATAAATGTGTTCAAATACAAAGTGTACAATAAGCTATAACACAGTTAAGGCCTTTGGATGAGAATCAAAGAATAAATAGCTAGAAACGTAATTAACACTTAAGCCACGTCAAGTGTCCCAAGCTACTTCAGAAGACTTTGAGAGGACGGGCAGGAATATTTTGTCCTTCGGTCATTCCTTGGTTTCTCCCATTTTCTTTCCTATTTTCTATTCTTCTTCCCCCTCCTCCCCTTTCGTTACCCACATCTCTGTGTTACACAAATAACACAAAATTGTATTTTGTACTTGAGGCCATTGTCAGTTTAAATTAAAATTTTATATCATTGAAAATAACATTGTTTAGGGCCCTCCCTTGTGGTGCAGCCGGTTAAAGCACAGCACTATGAAGCTAGCCGTAGCAGCTTCAACACGAGTTCGATCCTCAGACAGGAAGGTGACCCACATGGTGCAGCAGACCTGTCCTGTCTCGTCCACTGCTCCCCTCAGCAGTGTCCTTTGTCATTCTGCCTGTTCTGCTCCCCACTCCATCTCTGGTAAATCCTTTCACTGCCCCTACACCTCTGTCCTGTACCCCAGTACTGCATGCATAAATAAATAAATCTTTTTTTAAAAGATTATCAGTAGAAAATTAGAAATAATTATGTTTTTAACATTCCTATTGGTGTCTCACTTGTACACTGAAAAAGTTGAATCTCTAATAATAAAATATATATTTAAATTGTTTGCTTTTATAGATATGTATGCTTAACAAACGTTTATATAATTCACCTAAAATCCTTTAGCTGATTGTTTCTGAAGAAACAGGTTGAGTAGTTAAAAAGAGATCTACATAAAGACAGATAGGTAGTGCAATATCTTTAGCTGATTTTTGTTATAGCCGCCATGCCCAATAATAATAGATAGCGCCCTCCTTAAATGGAAAATTTGTAAGTAGTTAACATATATTTCTTTTTTTAATATATATTTTTTACAATGATTTCTTCTTATGGGAAAAAATACATTTACAGCACATGACCTTTCTGCTTTACTTTCACCAGCATTGTGTATTTTAGCATTTTTCAGGAATTTAGACTTAGTATAGTACTAATAATATACATTTTTAGTAAATGTAGTGTGTGTGTGTTTGAAGTACTTTTAAAATAAATTTGATATAGATAATAATATTTCCATTCGAATCTCATAATTTTTTTTTAATTGCTAGTAGCTTAAGTTCTAGTCTTAGGTGCCACTTATTTTCTATTTAAAGGGCTTCCCTGTTCTTTGTAGCTTATAATAATATGAAATAATCAGTATTACCCTGTCATGTGCTGTAAATGTATTTTTTCCCGTAAGAAGAAATCATTGTAAAAAATATATATTAAAAAAAGAAATATATGTTAACTACTTACAAATTTTCCATTTAAGGAGGGCGCTATCTATTATATGAAAAATAACTTTTTTCTTCCTCTTAAGGTTTTCTTTCTACCATTAAGTAATACCATCCTCAGCTGCTTTAAAGATAATTCCATCTTCGCCTGGGAGTGTGAGACTCTCTTGTGCAAATACCAGTTGCCAGCTCCGCCTGAAAGCTCCATTATCCTTTACAAGGTGTTTGCTGTGACCAGGTAATGAGCATTTTAAGACACTGAGAAGTTTTGTTTTTTTAAGATTTATTTATTTATTTGTACAGAACTGGGGTACAGGCCAGAGATGCGGAGGGTGAGAGGCTTCACCAGAGACAGAGTGGGGAGCAGAACAGGCAGGTCGACAAAGTACACTGCTGAGGGGAGCAGCGGGCGGGTCAGGAGAGGTCTGCCGCTCCATGTGGGTCAGCTCCCTGGCAGGAGATCAAACTCATGCTGTAGTGGCTTTGAAGAGCTTCATAATGCAGTGCCTTAACCTGTTGCACCACCAGGGAAAGCCTGACACTGAGAAATTTTTAAAAATCTAACTTCAGTATTCTCACCCACTGGGGTGCTTGTGTGTGCGTGTGTATACGTACATATACACTCACATGTATCCAAGTTTCCCTATGTGGTAACTACTAGGTACATGGGAATATTTGAATTAATAAAAGTTAAATAAAATTAAGAGCATTTCCTCAAGCACTGAGCATGTTTCCATTTCTCAGTGATCCCACGGGTGGCAGTGACCATCCTGGGAACACGCACGGAGAATACTTCCACATCACTTTGGGCCTGCCGGGCAGTGCTGCTGTGAAGTGCATCTAGCTTGTCACCTTTCTGTTACACAGAGATGGCCGAATCCTGGCCGCTGGAGGCAAATCCAGTCATCTTCATTTGTGGTGCTTGGAAGCTCAGCAGATATTCAGAATCATCCAGATGCCAACTAAAGTCCGTGCCATTCGCCATCTAGAATTTCTTCCTGATAGTTTTGATGCTGGGTCTAACCAGGTTCGTATCATAAATGTAGGACACTTTACCTTTTCAGAAAGGTTCTGTCACTTTCTGAACTATGTTAGCTCCTGTACACTGATTGTAAAAGGACTTGAATTTCTAATATTTTGGTGAAGTCTAAAATTGGGGATGGAAAAATCCTCAAATCTTACGAGCTGCACATTACTCAGTTTACCCTGTTACTAAAACCAATATACTTTAAATTTGTGTCATAACTTATGGTATACTGAGCACTTGGCATATTTCTTACTTAGCTTTTTAAATAATTCCTTTGGAGGAAGGCAAGGAGGTATTCTTACTATTATACAATGACACTACCGCCTAGAAATACTAAGTGACTTGTCAACAACTGAGTCTTGCCTTAGTTTACAAAAGCTTCTTCCCCCTCACACAGGCCTTTTTTGTTCTTTCTTTTCTCTTAAATGGAGTTGAGCACCACTTAACTATGTAATTTGCTTCTCTAGGAGGTTTCTAAATTTTGTATGAATTTATTACAAGTTTCTAGCCAGCATCCTTTATATCCTCTCGACTCTTCTCCCTTCTCCCCTCGCTTGCCACAGAAGCTTCAGTCCATCTGTTAGTGTCTGCTTGTTTTTATAAGCATTGTGCTCTGTCAACTCACCTCTGGGTAAATGTCCAGTATTTGCCTGTGTCATTCTGACTTGCTTTAGTGAATATAATTCCCTGAAACTCCTTCCATTTTGCTGTAAACGGCAACAGTTCATCTTCCCTTGTGACTGCAGGTTGCCCCATCAGGGGGTGCACACGTCTCCTCAACCCAGCCCTCTGCCAGAGGACGCTGCGGCTGTTTCCTCTGCTGGCTCCCATAAACCAGGCTGCAGTAAACACTGAAGGGCATATTTTTTCAAGTTGATGGTTTTATGTTCTTTGATTAGTTGCCCAGGAACATACAGCTTATTTCTTTTTAATATCAAGTACAGGTCAAACCCTAACTTTGTTGTTTTAATTGCCTGCCTGAATATTCTTCAACAACTTGTGTGTGTATGTGTGTGTACACATATTCTACATTACAGATGTAAATAAGTCTTTTGAATGGGTAATATATTCACATAGGTGAAAACCAAAAACATAAAAAGGCAGACAGTGAGTCTCTTACTGACCTTTTTGCCCAATTGTTCTACATGCCACAGCGGAGGTCACAGGTACGAACTGCCTGATCGCCTGTACTTTGTGGAGACTAGTGAGAACATGGCTGGGTTCTTAGAGCATCTTTTCATGGTCCCCAGGATGGGCTCTTTGCTCATTCTGGCCAGAGCTGGGTAGATCTGGACCCGAACAAGCAAATGTACATGACCTATAATTAGAGATTTTGAAATATATACTGGCTTTCAGTATATATTTCCAGATTTTGAAATATATGGTGTCCTTTGTGGTCTTCCCCTCAAGTATACACACACACATACGTTTGTGTGTAGTTTGACTTGTAGATGTATTTGCAGGCACTCACAGTTTCTTTCTCTTCTTAGGTTCTTGGAGTGCTAAGTCAAGATGGTATCATGAGATTTGTTAATATACAGACTTGTAAACTTCTCTTTGAAATTGGGAGTCTTGATGAAGGAATTAGCTCATCAGTAATTAGTCCACATGGACGGTACATTGCATCGATTATGGAAAATGGAAGTCTGAACATATATTCAGTGCAGGCTTTAACGCAGGAGATAAATAAGGTATGTTTTCATTTTTTTAAGGATTTAAATATAAAAATAAAATTTTTATGATTTTCTAACTTCTTGGACTTTGTTTTTCTAGATTGATTTTTTAAACTCCTAAAACCACATTTCCAGACTTGATTTCTTGCCTATACTCCATTCTTGAATTGCAGTCTTAAAGGCACCTTTTTGGGGTCCCTACCCCAATCTGCTCCCAAGAGCAGATCTGTCGATCTGTCTGTCTCCTGTCTCACTTCCCATGTTCGTGTTTGGGCAGCCTGGAGTGCACGAACGTGAGCTGGGTTTACAACTCCAGTTAGCACGGCATGTGATCTCTTACACTTGAAATCTCGCTATGTGTGGGCCTGTTGTCCCTCTCGTAGCCTTCCTCACGTTAACTTACTCTTACTAACTACTCTTGAGTAATAGTAAGTTAAACACATAGACAAAGCTGAGAGCCTCAGTGCCCACTCCTGCCCCTCAGTCCATCTCTTACATGATGTATTTCTAAAGTAAAACTTTCATCATTATTTTTAACAGGCTTCCTTCCTGGTGCCTGTTGCATTAAGTCCAGATTCTGCTGGTTCTGAGAGTCCCCTCTGGTCTTGTCCACCTTATTCCTCACACTCGAACTTCTTGCATCGCCCCCACAGACACCACTCTCATTGCCTCATGTGCCGCCTGCACCACTCATAGCATCTAAGATACCACCCCTCTTTGTGGTTAAGATTCCCCAGCTGGACTGTGGTGCAGCCTTTTCAAGAGTGGAATTGTATGGACTAAGAGGCCCTGGACACCTGGCCTGACCATGTCACACAGGAAGAAGCTCCTGAACCAGCTTAATCACACAGCCAGGTGTTAGCAGGCCTTGTGTCCTAATATGTTCGTCTCTCTGCTATGCATCTGCTCCTTTTTATCTTTTGGTAATTAGGCAAGCAATGTCTAAAAACCAAATGACATCTAATAGGTAAGGATTACCTACAGTCTCACTATTCTGAGGTAATTTTGAAATATATATTTCCCCAGTCTCTTTTCTATGTGTATAAATCTATCTGCTCCTCATCATTCACAGATTCAGTATTTGTGAACTCATGTTCTCGGCTGAAGGTTTATTCGTAACTCTGAAACCTGTCCTTGTCGCTAGTCAGACATCTGCACACGCAGGCAGCACAAGATTTGCTCTGTCCCACGCAGCTCCCCACTCCAGTCAAACAAAGCAGCTTCTGCCGCTTAGCCCAGCTCTCCTACTGCAAACAGGGGTCCTTTCACCAGCTGTTCAGGGCTATTTTTCACATCTTACCCTTTTTGTTGGTGATTTTGCTTTTTCTCAAAATGAGCGTGGTGCACATTGCTAGAGCTCAGTGTATTGTCCCTCTGTGTGAGGCGGCTGCAAAGGGGAAACTGAGGCATGAGTTATGGTGGTGTTGGTATGTATTTGGTGTCAGTGGATCAGCTGTCTCCTAGCTATTAAATGAGTATTTCTCAATAAAAACATACAAAGAGAGGGCCCTCCCTGGTGGTGCAGCGGGTTAAAGCACTGCACTAAGAAGTTTAAGCCACTTCCACATGAGTTCGATCCCCGCCTGCCCTGGAGGAGATCCACGTGGCGTGGCAGACCGCTCCTGACCCGCCCGCTGCCTCCCTCAGCAGTGTACTTCATTGATTTGCCTGTTCTGCTCCCCTCTCTGTCTCTGGTGAATCCTCTCACCCTCTGCATCTCTGGCCTGTACCCCAGTTCCCCAGTTCTGTATGAATAAATAAATAAATCTTAAAAAAAAAAAATTTCCATTGTTGCCAACCTCTCAACTCCAATTAGAATATGGAGTATGGATATTTAAAAAAAAAAAAAAACAAAACAAAACAAAGAGAACAAGACTATATGCTGATTGACCAAAACATGACCACCACCTCACAGGACCTGCTTCTGTATTGCACAAGAAGCAACAGTTGACTACTAGAGAACATAGTGTTTGCAGGGATTGTATAGGCCATAACTACTATGAATAATGAGACTACTATATTTATATGTATCTCCTCACATTTTCTTAAACACAAGGAATTCTCTGTTCTTGTAATCTTTAAAAAATACAACAAACTATTGTTTAAAAAAAAAAGTAACATTATTGGTTTCTAATGAGAGTTTTCTGTCTGTTCAAATAGCTCATGTCACAGACCAGCCAAATGTTAATAAAAGTGGGGAAAGACTAAGACCCAGGGAAGAGTGTTATCTCTGTGTTCAGCAAGCTGAGGTCTGATGACCAAAAAAACTGCTTTATGACAAACATGGGATAGTTTCGCTGTTTGGGAGCAGTACCAGTACCTCCGGTGTCTAGTCAGGTCCACACAGATGGCTCAGTTCATCGTCTGTAATCCATACTGTGTGCTTTTCCTTCAAGCCCCACTTTCTTGCCATTGGAGAATTTTTAGTGTTGTGCTGATTAAAGTAATCTGAGTTCTACGTGTGTGAAAGTTTTCACCCTGTAAGGTAAGATTTGGCAATGTGGACTACCCAGGCTCCAACTTCAGGAGGCTGCATTTCATGGAACAACACCAAGTTCAAGCAGGAAAAATGTGGCACTAGAATAAAAATTGTAATGAAGATACAAGAATGAGCTGAGGTCAGAGAAGATCCTGAAGTGTATGACAAACAGGCAGTAACCAGCAGACCTCTGCTAGACAGACAGCTGGAACATCACGTCACAGGGGAATGATCATACCTTGTACTTAGTGTGAGCTCTTATAATGTATTATATTTTGCATTGTCCTTGTAATCTTTTTCGATATGTTTAACAGTATATCCTAGAAAAACACTATTTTAAAAAAAACTAGAAAAGTTAAAACTTTAAATGTACTTCATAACTCTAAGACAAGCTAAAATCAACTCCAGTCTTACCACATTACCTGCTCCAGGCGCTTCCCAGGGCCATCCATGTACATATGCACCTGGAGGGCTTTGCGGGGGGCTCTTTTTTGGTCTTCTGTAGTAGCTGCAGTCTGCAAAGGCCGAAGTCCTGAGCCCCTGAAGGCAATATGAATAAAACCTTTGTTTGAAACCTTGAATCCGAGTTTCACTCACACACACGCACACATATGGTCAAGATGTTTGCTTTGTTCTATTTATCTATTTGGGGTAAGACTGGCATAGGTCAGAAAGTTTTGTTTGTGCTTCAGAGCACGTTTTTAAACAGTTTTATGTCACAGAAGAACACTTCTGACTTTTAAGACAATGTAAATTCAAGGTAATTGTATAACAATGCATTTTCTGAAATCGGATGTCGTTTGGACACCCGGGGTATTCCTTTGTGTCCTTGTGCTCATGTTAATGAATGTTGGCACTTGGGTTTCAAGAAAACTTTCGTTTCCTAAATATTTTTGTCTTAAAATATTGTAGACACACAGAAAATAACACAACAGGGGCCCACATATGTTAACAGTTTGTTCCATTTCTTTAGTCTCACTCTCTTTTTAAGAAACATACTTCCACAATAGTACAAAACTGCTCTTATCCTGTCCCCTTTTCTCTCCCTAGAGATGTTCACTACTCTGAAGTTGTGTACCTATTGTCTCACGCACAAAAGCAAAAGACAAAATGCCCCCCACCTTTCTCTCGTTTGCCCCCTTCTCTCTGACAGCCTCCTTTGGCTGCAGTGTCCACTAGCTCACTCTTATTTTACTTTTGTCGGTTCACCCAGCTGCATTCTGTTATGCATAAATGTCGTATCATCTGATGTTTGTCATTGGCTAACTTCACATTGTCCGAAATCTTCCCTGGCTTCTTCCATTTGACTGAAAATGGCAAAGGTTCATCTTTCATCAGAGCCAAATAGTGACCCCTGGTGTATCAATGCCCGTCTTCATTCATGCACCTACCAGGGGGTATTTAGCATTGCTTCTACAGCTTCTGTAAATAATGCTCACTCCAGGCCATTTTTTAAAAAATCACAAGCCTACCTTATCTTCGACTTGGTCTGAGCTAATTACTAAGGGAATACTAATGGCCTCAACATTTCAATCCCTGCAAAAGTCTCTGTACTCAATTATATTTAGAATTCAGAAAACCTAAGTTACCTGTCACTTCTTTTGACCAAGGAAGATCTGATTTCAAAGAAAGTATTGTTCCTGGATAACATGTTTCAATGAAACATTTTAAGTAAGTGAAGTTGGGGTTTATTTTCCTGTTTGATAGACCCATCAAAATGAGGATTTAGTGTGTAAGTTGTACTGAGTAAAGTCTCTCTGAAGTTGTTGATACAGAAAGGGGCTAACGGCCCTCTTTGTAGATTAAAAACATCCCCAGTGACAGAGAGATGGGGCTCCCACAACACCAAAGGAAAGTCACTTCGCCTTTCCTCAGAGAAATTTCTCTTGAGCAGAGAGACTATCATGGTGTTTCAGTGTTCGGGAGGGCCTCTCATCTAACAGCCTCCACTCTGCTCTACCATGCAAGTGTGAGAAGTGACTAGTATTCTGAGATGTAAGGCCCACTTTAAGGAATAATTCAGTTTTTGTTACTATTATATAGCTTTACTATTATTTTTCACAGGAATTTGTCAAAAGTATTCTTGATTTGTTAGTCAATAGGGAAACATTCTTGGATACTTTATTTACACATCTTATCTGAAGAACATTTAAATATACTAAGATACATTGTTAAATCATTTGTTAACAGGCCTTTTCCCAAAACTAGCCCCTGGATTTTTTTTTTCTTTCTTTCTTTCAGCCTCCTCCTCCTCTAGTGAAGGTGATAGAAGATTTGCCCAAGAATAAACTGAATTCTGGTGATTTTAAAATGAAAGTGACATCAGGAAGAGTGCAACGGCCAGCAAAATCAAAGGAAAACAAAGTACAGAGTAGAATATTAAAACAGAACTTGACTTGTAATTTTGAAAATAATGAGGTAACACTATATCATAATGAATCTTGTGTATGTTTGTCCTCACTCTGCCGGAGAGAAGGGTCATGATTTCTAGACCATCATTAACTTCCCCTGTATAGGAATTAAAGGAACATTACATGAAGGGAAGAAAATCTTACACTCCTAAAACTTCTAAAATTAATGTTTGTTGTTTTAAAAGTCAAACAGTATAGAATTGTACTGTCCACTAGCTACCCGTGGCTAATTGAGACCTGACCAATCTAAACTGAAATGTCTTTACACAATGACATATTGAAAGCTTAACTATGAACAATGGATGTAAAATACTTTAATAATTTTTATTTTGATTATATTTTGATTACATTGGGTTAAATAGATTATGAAACTTAAAATTTTTTGACTCAATTTTTTTTTCATTTTATACTCAATTTTTTACATCATTCTTCATTTTGTGCATATTTTCATCTCATTTGTAATCCCCATGGACTTCCCACCACCAGTTCACCCCTGTGCCATCACCATAGTCTGTGCATTCTTCCCACCCTACCCCAGTTTTGATCCTGTTCCCCTCCCCACCCCTATAAAATGTTCTCTGGTTTATAGTTATTTGTTGTTTTTCATTTTTTCTTTATTCCAATTGCTTCTTTACTTTTTATTTTTCCAGGTCCCTTATGTTCCTGCTATTAATGAAACCATCTGGTACTTTTCTTTTTCTTTCTGGCTTAGTTCACTAAGCATGATCCCTTCCAGCTCCATCCAAAAGGCATGAGTTTATGTCTTTTGATTGCTGAGTAATATTCCATTGTGTTTATGTACCACATCTATTTAATCCAGTCATCTATTTTTGGGTTCACTCCATGTCTTCCCTATTGTAAATAAAGCAACAATAAACATGGGGGTGCAGGTGTCCTTTTGAGTCAATGGTTTTGTGTCCTTTGGGTAGATACCTACAAGTGGGATTGCTGGGCCATATAGAAGCTCCATTTTTAGCAGTTTGAGAAACCTCCACATGGCTTTCCATAGTGGTTGAACCAGTTTGCATTCCCACCAGCAGTGCAGGAGAGTTTTCTCTCTACATCTTTGCCAACATTTGTTGTTGCTAGTTGTTTTAATATGTGCTATTCTCACTGGTATGAGATGGAGTCTCATTGTGGTTTTAATTTGCATTTCCCTTATTACAAGTGATGTTGAACATTTTTTCATGTGCCTGATGGCCATCTTCATTTCCTCTTTGGAGAAGTATCTCTAGCTCTTCTGCTCATTTGTTGATGGGGTTGATGAAGCTTATATTTTACAAGTATCTTTTGACTTTTCAAACTTGCTTCCTACAAAATTCTAATGATATTTGTGCCTCAAATTGTTCAGTGGTGAAAAGAATACTGAAATAAGTTAGAAAATCTGGCCTTGAGTCTTGAGCCAAGTTTTGGCAGGTTTGTGAACTTGAGCATGTCACTGAAGTTCTGTTGACCTTCCCATCTTCTCAAAGGAAGATAACATCCTTATCTTTTTCCTATACTTGTTAGGATAAGATGACGTAACCTATAACCATAAGGTCTTGAAAATATTTTTATTAAGACAGAATGACATAAAATTAAGAGGAGAGAGAGGGAAGGACGAACAGGAAGACATCAGAGCTTTGCTGTACCTGTAGGGATGGAAACCAGCCATTCATGGACAATGTCAGCTGCTCAGGCCAAGAATGAGGTTTACGTTAAGTGATTACAGTTTAAATGGCATATAAGTACTATGTAGTATAGTTGGTGTTGCCTCTGGTTCACAAAGACTAAAGTAATTACTATCTTACCCTTTATAAAAGAAGCTTATCAACCCTGATGTAGGGTAGACAGTATGTATGATTTTTATTTGCCGTGATATACTTGAGCAAGAGCGGGAGAGAAGTCAGGAGAGATGTGGAGAGAGTAGCACCCATGATAGAAAAATATTTCTTAACTGTGTTGTGTTCTAAAGTTGGAAAACCACTGTGGACTACATTACCTTTCTGTTGTGTTATTATGGCGCTTACTTATCAGTAACTGCTTTCTTTTTTAAAGAATGAATTGCCAGAAGGATTAAACAAAAAGCGTTTACAAGTATTACTAAAAGGCTATGGTGAATATCCAATGAAATACAGGTAAAATTTTAATTCTTTCCCTTTAAATTAAGTTTAAACACATTCCCCCCCCCCCACACACACACACACACACTTCTTGGTTAAAATTGGTTTCTTGGTGTAAACTTAAATTTCAGGATGTTCATTTGGCGCTCTCTGCTACAGCTGCCTGAAAATCATACTGCTTTTAGTAACCTGGTAGATAAGGGTGTCCACGTGGCGTTTCTCAACCTTCAGAAGAGTTACCCCATCAAAAGTAGGAAGCTGCTCAGAGTGTTACAGAGGTATGTTCAATATACAGTAGCAGTGAGTCTCTCCCCTAGGTATTTATTAATTAAAAGTGGGAAAATAGTAATTTTAGAGCAGAGAAACTCCCCAGACACCACCTTAACCTAGTAACCAAATTTAAATCACCAGTAATAAAACATCAGTAAATGTCACGCATCATTTTGGTAGTATTCTTGCCAAAAATTTATAGCCTCAGTCTAATCATGAGAAAACCTCTGACAAACCCAGATAGAGGGGTAACCAGAAAAAACTGGTGTTCCTCAAAAATGTCTGTCATAAGAAATGAGCATTTAAGGATTTCTCACACCAGAAGTTATGGAGATAAAACAGATACATACAGTGTTGTGTTCTGGGTGGTAAAATGAAAAAGTGACATTAGTGGGGGAGGAAAAAGATAAAATGCAAATAAAGTCTAATTTACTTCATAGCGATTAGCTAGTGTCCATTTCCTAGAAATGACAATTGTGCTGTATTTGTGCAAGATACAACATGAGAGTAATTTAGCTAAAGTTATATGGGAACTCTACTGTTCGTAAACTTTTGTAAACCTAAAATTATTGCAAAACAAGTTGTTTTTTTTGTTTTTTTGTTTTTGTTTAAGAAAAGAAAATCTTAAAAGCAGTAGAAGCAAATGTGGGAGAATCCCAATCACAGAGTAAGGCTGGCCTTCCTAAGCACGACATCAAGAGACTGTCATGAATAAAAATCTCTCCATGAAAAAAAATTCTCAGATTTTTAAAATCAAAAGTTATATGCAAACCATAACAAATAAAAGGCTGATTCCTTTATGAATTGTTTGTGTAAACATGAAAGCATTCAGCTCATTACAAAAAGGAAAAAGTTGAACATATAGTTGGAAATGGTTCTTGAACATGAAATGTTGTTTCATCTCCCCCAAAATGAACTATATTTTAAAACTCTTTTTTAAATATTTATTGTTTAAAAACTACATTGAAATAATGTCTCTCACCTAAAGGTTCAAAGGGTTGATAATTTGTTGGAAAGTCTGAGAAAATAGGCATCCCTTTAATACTTTCTCCCTTTAGCAATACTGATGAAATGGAGACACTATTTTTGCGAACAATAATTTGGCACCAGCTATTGAAGCTGCAAAAGCACATCTCCTCTGACTCAGCAATTCTTTTAGGAATTTAGCTATATTCCCACACGCAGACTGTTACCTTGTGACCTTAAGCACATTGTAGCACTGTTTACTAAAGTTGAGAAACAAACACCCAGGAGGACCAAGTTCAAGAGCAGGGGTATATGTCTGCAGAGTAAACTTGACTGTCTATAAACTAGAAGCACTGTCTGTGCTGATGTGAACCGATTTCTAAGATACTATGAAGCAAAGATGAAAAGTTCAGAAACACTTTGTGACTTTTAAAAAAGGCTTTATGCTTTTACTGGTGGTTCTGGGGAAGAGAGCTAGATAAGAGTTAGGCAGAATTTCACCAAGATTACCGTATTGAAATTTTTATCACATGAATGTGTAATTTACTCAAATACATGTTAATAATGAATTGTGTTCTTGTCTTTATTTCTTGATTTCATTCACAGAACCCTATCTGCATTAGCTCACTGGTCTGCCATCTTTAGTGACACACCATATCTTCCACTGCTGGCCTTTCCATTTGTGAAATTATTCCAGAACAATCAACTTATCTGTTTTGAAGTTGTGGCTACTCTCATCAGTAAGTGTTAAATAATGAAACCAAAAGTGATGCTTCTATATAGCTGATCTTTGCAGCTTTGCAACATTTAACAATTCTAATGTGGAACTTTCAAATATAGAACACACATGAACAATTTGGAAATTTATATGGTGACCTTTTTATTTAAGAGTAGATTTGGGTCATTGTTACTTGCTAGATTTTCTTAGTAAGAAGGAAACATATGCTTCATTTACTGCTAAACTAGTATGTACCCACCAAACTCAAACTTTGTACGACATATTCAGTGAGACTCGGCTTGAAACATGGCAAGAAGGAAGTTTAATGATGTTACTACACAGGAAGTAATAGAGTCAGTGTTTCTTTACAATAAGAAAATCTATGGAAATTGACCTGGAAATGAATCAAAATATAAAAAAATCTTTCTTTTTTCTCTTCAGCTTGTCTCCACTGCAACTGATTATTCATAGCATAGAGATAGAGGACAGGCTGTTAGTTCAGGAACAGCAAAGCCAAGTAAGCAGAAGCTAAACGATTATCAAAAGAAAAAGATTCATGTGATTTCTTCAGCTATGCCTATCGGTTTCTCTTGGTTATATTCCTAGACTTGGTATTATTAGGTCATAAAATATGAACATTCTAATTGAGTCACCAAAAGGGTTATAAGTAGTTACCCTACCAATAACTCTAAGAGTTTTAAAAATAAAAAAAAAGACATACAGTCCAACTTCAAAATGGCAAAGGACTTGAATAGACATTTCTCATGGAAGGTCCAAATGACTCGTGAGCATATAGAAAGGTGCTAAGGGATATTAATCAATAGAGAAATACAAATCAAAACCACAGTGAGGTACCGCTTTTACATACTAGAATAGCTACACTTAAAAAAAAAACCAGAATATAGCAATTATTGACAATGATGTGAAAAAATTGCTAGTGAAAAGGTAAAATGGAGAAATCACTGTAAAAAAAATTGGGCAGTTCCTCAGTTGATGGATACCACAAGCAATTGCACTGCTAAGGATATACCACAGAGAATTGAAAATAGACTTAGATACCTACATGTGAGTGTTCAAAGTAGCATTATTTCCAATATCCAAAAGGTAGGAGCGACACAGATGTACATTAGCAGTGGATGCAGATGTGTGTGCACGCTGGGGCTGGGGCTGGGTGGCAGTGAGAAGTCTGTGCAGTCTGTCTGGGAAAGGGTTTCCGAAGTAGAAATAGTTGTTCAACCTTGTAAATACATTTGACACACTGAATTGAACTGCAAAAACTGGTGTAAGGGGCAAACTGCACCTTAAGAAAGATTAGGTCTAATTGAAGTAGGCCTGTAAAACTATTTTTGCTTCCAGTAAAATCTTGTTATATAGCTGAAGTCTATTCTGTGCTAAGAAAAAATGATTTTTTTTCTTCGAAGCCTACAATATAACTTTTGAAAATACATAATGGTGAACATGAGTAGCTATGGACCATTGTCATGTTTATTGAGTAAACATTTATTGACTTCAAGTAAATGTTAGCACCACTTGGGATAAACCATTGGTTTTTTTTTGTTTGTTTGTTTTTTAAGATTTATTCATACAGAACTAGGGTACAGGCCAGAGATGCGGAGGGTGAGAGGATTCACCAGAGACAGAGCGGGAAGCAGAACAGGCAGATCGATGAAGTACACTGCTGAGGGGAGCAGCGGGCGGGTCAGGAGAGGTCTGCCGCGCCATGTGGTCACCTCCAGGACAGGCGGGGATCGAACTCTTGCGGAAGTGGCTTTAGCTTCTCAGTGCAGTGCTTTAACCCGCTGCACCATCAGGGAGGGCCAGGATAAACCATTGTTTTAACCTTCAGTTTCACTTCTTTCAGATAAGAAATAATTTTTTTGGAAGCTACCACTGGTCTGCTATAACCAAAGCAGTTTGGTTTTTTTTTTGTAAAGTGTTGTTAAAAAAAAAGTAGAAAATATTTTTGAAATACTGTCACATTTCTGTGTTTATAAAAGTTATTTTGAAGTACTCCTTAGAGTCTCTTTTGTGACCAGAGGAAATTCTCCAGATTTAGTAAAGGATCTCCACACAATTGTCATTTCCTTTCATTCTGCCCTCAGTTCTGTCTCTGTGTCCTCAGCCTATACCTTGTTTGGTGGCGCAAGTGGAAAGGAAGAAGAGAAGGCAGATGTTACTGCATAAAGCAGAGTTTTTCTCTTTCCTAATTGTGAGTCATGATGTACTGATGAAGATTAATATAAAAGTCAGGGCTTTGTTTATGTGTGCAGTGTTTTAAAATTCCCAGAACTAGCAATGTCTGAGACATAGCAGACACTGAGAAAATGTCATTGAACTACATTTTCCTTTTAAAGTTAACTTATTTAAGAACAACAGTTAAAAATGTTGAAATATTTCTTTAAAGTTTAGTCTTTGCAAGATTTTAATTTTGACAATTATTAATTCAAATACTTATTAATGCATGAAATAATGGGATTCTAGAATTGAAAGTGACCTTACAAGCCAATTGTAATCCTTTCTTCTACTGATCAAAGCCTTTTTTTTGCAAATTTGAGAAAATCTTACTGTCAAAGGATAAAACCTCAAGTCAGCATTTTAAAAAAATTTTTTTGAATGTAATAACTAAGGAGAACAGTGGTGGTTAGACAAGTAAAACAGACTGAGAGTCATACTAGGGATTTTGAGGGTCGTTTGTTGAGTTCTGGTCACCAAGTGAGTCAAAGTCGGCCTTACAGGGCCCTTCAGCGGCGTGGCCTCTGCCTGTCCCTGGGTTGCCTTTAAATACGCCAGTGCAGCTGATGGGGCAGGTTCAAAAGTCCAGCTGACTGAAACAAGTTGTCATCAAATAATTAGATTTAAAATCTGTTCTAGTGGTTACGTGTTACCGTGGCCATAGAATGATAGAGTAGTCTTTTCCTAGAAACGAGGACTCCTAATCCTACCACTTCTTGGGGAGGTTTACCATTCACACCCTCATGTCCTCATGTGCTGCTGTCAACGTGCAGAGTAAGTACATGTAGCACAGCAGGAACCAGCTACCTGGTGTCTAGGGGCAGGGCTGCTTCGGGAACCTTCATCTGTCACATTTACCCTTTCTACTCACTGCTCTAAAGAAATGGGCAAATTTCTATAAATACAAATTACTGTATTGTTGAAATTTTAAAATCTAATCAAGAATTTCAAGGGTCAACATGTTTACTAGTGAGCTTGTGAAGACATCAGAGTAGCTACATTTAAGGATTGCAAAATCCTTTGATAATACTGAAGTATAAAAAGGTTTTCCTTTTTTTTTTTCCTTCATAGTCAATTGGTGTCAACACTGGTTTGAATATTTTCCTAATCCTCCTATCAATATTCTCAGTATGATCGAAAATGTTTTGGCGTTTCATGATAAGGAGCTGCTGCAGCACTTCATAAACCACGATGTAACTTCCCAGGTAAGAGGTGTTGGTTGGTGAAATGATTTGTTTTGGAAACTAATACTGGTCTGGTATAAACAAAGTACGTTTTTTTTAAAGAGTATAGTGAAGAAAACACTATACTTTTGTATTTTTACTCCATTCTCCATTAAATTGCTTTCCTAAAATGTCTAATAGAAAGAGTTTGAGTCCAGGTGGTTCTTTTCATGTTTTAAAAATAATGATTCTAATAGCTAAGTCAAGTACAAGGGAGTAGTAACGATAACTGACTTTCCCCTAGAAAATATTCTTTTCATTTCCTTTAGCTCTATGCATGGCCTCTTCTTGAAACCGTGTTCTCAGAAGTACTGACAAGAGAGGAGTGGCTGAAGCTATTTGATAACGTTTTTTCCAACCACCCTTCGTTCCTCCTGATGACGGTTGTGGCCTACAACACGTGCTTTCGAGCACCTTTGCTCAACTGTAATCTTAAAGATGACTTTGAGGTAAACGTCCTTATTTGCCGATTTCATTTACTTCAAGTGGAAAGTCTGTCTTCATCGAGTCCCGTCGTGCGTCAGGCGCTGGCGCTGGGTGTTGGGTGTGTGGTGGGAACACTTCCGCTGCAGGCGCCCTCACGTCGTCTGCGGGCAGCTCAGCAGGCAATGAAGAACAGTTTCAGAAAAGAATCATGAAAAGACTGGAGTTTTGTGCTTTCTGCCTGTAGAAAGGATGTTTAACAGTTTGATTTGATTCTGTGTGAGTGCTCCTCTCAGCCACTCAGCAGGTCTCTGACAACCTGCATGCAAACTGTAAGAAGTTAGAAACTAAGAATTTAGTGTGGGGGAAAGTGACTGAAAGAAAGCACTAGAGGTCATTATGAGAAGCAGTCTCTTTTTGTAGAAAGAATGAATTACTGTTGGCTTGTTTCTTTTTTATCTTGTGCTTACTGTCAGACTTAATTTCTCCGTCAGTTTTCCAGGCTACATCCATGTATTTTAGAATTTTGATCTTCCAGCAGAACAAAATAATGTGGAAACACCAGATTTTTTTTTTTTTTGAAGATTTATGCATACAAAACTGGGGTACAGGCCAGAGGTGTAGGGGCAGTGAGAGGCTTCACCAGAGACAGAGCGGGGAGCAGAACAGGCTGACTGACGAAGTCCACTGCTGAGGGGAGCAGCAGGCGGGTCAGGAGAGGTCTGCCACGCCATGTGGTCACCTCCGGAGTGGGGATCAAACTCATGCTGAAGTGGCCTTAGCTTCTTAGTGCTGTGCTTTCACCTGCTGTGCCACCAGGGAGGGCCCGAAACACTAGATATTTTTGAAGAAACAACCTAATTTGTTTTCAAAGACTAGTTGACTTTCAATTTTATTTTGTATTTTGGAAGAAATAAATCCAAGCAAAAGAGTTTATTCCATGTGGAAGCATTCTTCTTCTAGTATGAAGAAAGTTCTCATTTTGAGTTACAATTCTAATATTATTTCAAAATTTCATAATATGGTTGTGACGTTTTATTACACTTTGAACACATGAAATTGAATTTTCATTTGAAAAACTTGGATTAAGAAAACTTTAGTGAATTTGTTTAAGTAAATCCTCTTAAAGATATTTTTATTTGTGTTTTTAAAGTCTTACTCTAATTGCTTTGTTAGGTAAATCTCAATTTAAACATTGAATTTTCTTACAGTATTTTTTTCACCATCGGAATAATTTAGACATAAGTGTTGTGATCCGAAAAGTTTACCATCTCATGGATACCACCCCTGCCGACATTCACCCAGACAGCACGCTCGACGCCTTTGTGGCACTGACGAAAGGGCAGTACCCAGTATTTAACCAATACCCAAGGTTCATTGTGGACTATCAGACACAGGAACGAGAAAGAATAAGAAATGATGAGTTGGATTACTTAAGAGAGAGGTAATCATGGAATTGTTCTTGGTCTAGTTAAAAAAAAACTGTTACAAATATGCAGATTTTTAATTAAAAATGCATGTAAATTATGTATTATGTGAAACAGTTTGATGACTAAAAATATCTTTAAAGATAGTTAGGTCTTACATATGGAAATAATTACATATTAATTCAGTATATATTTTGTATTTTGGTTGTTGTTGGACTTCAACTACTGAGCTTTCTTATTTACATTTGATATAATAATATATTTATCTACTTAAGGCAGACAGTTGAAGATATGCAAGCTGAAGTGGACCAGCAAAGAGCCGAAGATGAAAATTGGTACCAGAAGCAAGAACTACTTCGTAAAGCTGAGGAAACCAGGAGAGAAATGCTCTTGCAGGAGGAGGAGAGGATGATACAGCAAAGAGAGAGGTGTGTTTTATCACACTGAAGATATTTTTAATTTTTCTTTTCTTTCATGTTTTATTATAGGAATGTCACCATATGTAATAATATACCCCACTGTAGTATTGCTATTAAGTATATGATTAAGTTAATAGAAAGTTATCCTATACCTTGTCCCAGAAATGGGTACATAATAAAATGTAATTCTCAGACTCTACTGAACGTGGTCTAAGTTTGCACTGTTCACTTAGAAGTAATCCAGCCTCTGATGTATCTTGCCGGACATTTTAGACACATATTATGGTGAACAGAGATGCTTTATATGGAGTGCTAGATAAATCTCATTATGTATTTTATACTTAGGAAATCAGGGAGAGAAGTAAATGCTTATTCAAAAGCATCTTAATAAAAAAGGTTTCAGGTGAATAGAAATTACGGAGTACATTGAGGCTAAGCCTGATGGTGGGAAACAAGTCTTGTTATTGATTCTTATTGTTGGGTGGAGCTGTAGAAACAGATTCCTAGATTGGGTTCAAAAGAATGACGGAAGGGATCCCTTTACCTTCTACTGAAACTGAATGAATCAGCATTGGTGCCACTGGAGCATCTGGGGCCTTTCCTTGAGATGAAGGCTGTCGCTGTATGGACATGAATTGAGCAGAGACCTGCTAAGACTTTTGAATGTGGCAGGGGTAGGCAGCTGCACCTTGACCATATGTCATGTCAGGAGTGCAGGTTTGTTTTGTAATTGGGCATCTTCCACTATATAGTTTAAACACAAGCTTTTTACAGTGTCTCCGTTCAATTGGGAAAGAGCCAAAACTGATGGCAAGCTTTTGATTACTGTAAAATATAATAACTTTTCATTTAATAATTTAATGTTTTCATGTATTTTTGATATATTTTGTATTTAAGACTCGCTGCTGTGAAAAGAGAGCTGAAAGTAAAGGAAATGCACTTACAAGATGCGGCAAGAAGGCGTTTTCTGAAGCTTCAGCAAGACCAACGCGAGATGGAGCTGAGGCGACTAGAGGATGAAATTCAGAGAAAGGTTTATTGTCTTCATTCCCATACATGACCCCGCAGACCTCCCTGAGTACAGTAAACACCTTCATTATTCCTCGAGTCCATAGTCACTGCCTGACGGCCACTTCCGTCTCATTCACTTTTCCCCTCAGCTGTTCTTAATGTCTTTTGTATTTCACCAACAGTTAAGGATTTTAGAAACGCCAGGAAAATTAGTCAAGTTGCTAGTGTCCTTGGCTACGCCTCTAAAAATACAGGCATCATTTAACAAACCATTAAGTTAATTGTGAGTAGGGTAATATTCTTTTTTCTTTAATTTTGGTGAAAATTTTTGTATGGCCAGTATAAAAAATTTTCCATTACAAAGTATATGAGTAGTTAATGACATATCCTTTCAGATGTTCTTCCATAGCTAAAGGAATAATTACATTCATATTTTTCTATAAGAAATAAGATTATTCTTCCTAATAATCATCTTTGCAACCTGCTTTTTAAAATGATGTATATTGAATTTATTTTCATATGACTATACCTGTCTATTCTCTTTTTTCATGGTTTAAGGTGTTGCACTGTATGACTGTCGCTGTGTGATGAATACTTTGCTGCTAGATTCTAGGTTGTCTGTGGTGTTTTGCTGTATTAAAGCAGTGCTATGGAGCATATTCTCAGTACAGACCCTAAAGTATTGCACACATACGATTGTTGAGTAAATTCCAAGTTATGCCAAATTGACCTTCAAAAATGAACCCACTTAAGCTATTATAAGTGTATCAGAGTCCCATGCCCTCGTCACTTTGAAGTATATCATTTTTTTTTTAAGATTTATTTATTCATATAGAGCTGGGGTACAGGCCAGAGATGCGGAGGGTGAGAGGCTTCACCAGAGACAGAGTGGGGAGCAGAACAGGCAGATCAACAAAGTACACTGCTGAGGGGAATAGCAGGCAGGTCAGGAGAGGTCTGCCGCGCCATGTGGTCACCTCTGGGGCAGGCGGGAATCGAACTCATGCGGAAGTGGCTTTCGATTCTTAGTGCTGCGCTTTAACCCGCTGCGCCACCAGGGAGGGCCAGAAGTATATCATTCTTAGTATTTGCCAGTCTGGTCGGTGAAGAATGACTTTTAACTTGCCTATTTGTTAGTGAAGTTAAATATCTCTGCAGTTATTTATCTTCTCTTTGTAGAAGTATAAATTTTACATCCACATCCTTCATTGATTTTTCTATTAGTCTTTCTGAACATGGGCCTCTGTGCCCGTCCGGGCAACACTGCCCAACAGACACGTGAAGTGAGCCACACAGGTAACTAAGGTTTCCAACAGCCACATCAAAAAAGTAAGGAGAAACAGGTGATACTACTATTACATTTAATATATTCACAAATTATTTCAACATGTAATTAGTATGAAGACATTATCAGTGAGGTGTTGCACCTTCCGTTTGCAACTGCGTCAGCTTCCACTTGTCACCCCTAATTTGGCCCAGTCGTCCTTAAGTGCTCAATGCCACACACAGCTGGGAGCTGCCCAGCAGCGTGACCTGGGTGGGCATCAGCCCTATTGTCTGTTCTAAGTTTTTTCCCTCTAGTCTGTGTTGCTTTTCTCTTAAGAATGTTTAAGGTCTTTTGATACCCAAAATTTTTGGATAACTACATCCATGTACTTTATTCTCACCTCTAAAAAATTGGAACTTTAGGCAACCCAGTACTTAAGATGGTTCCTAAGATTCTTTACTCTCAGGAGTCCCTGACCCAGACCCTCTAGTGTGAGGAGTGAAAAACTTCCAGGTGACCCAACCTTGGAGACAGGTAACTCTACGTGAAACCCACGCAGGGCACATACAGATTGAATAGGCCACAATACATTAAAACTTAGCATTACTAGTTACCAAGCCAAACTTATGGAAGTATAGCAGTATAAAGAAAAAGAACATTAAATAAGCGTTACATTTAATAAGTTTAAACATTCTATATTTTTGTCTACCCCATATTTAAATTGCTCGAGCTTTTTCACTCATAATATTGGCTAATGTGAAATGGTAAGAACTGCCATCTGCTCTCCCAGTCTGGGAACATATGGTAATTCTGCTTTCTTTTTTAGAAAATTAAACTTAGCTGCTCAACTCAGATATTCCTAGATTCCACAGTAAATGTTAGCATATTATCAATTACTTTAGTTTAAAAAGCTTAGTTATTCTTATTAAATACTTCTCAGTGTATTGTTGAATTATAAGATTAAAATTTATTTTTAAAAAAACTTGTAAATTTTTTTGAACACACTCTTGTTCCCTCACAGATACATATGAGAGATCGAGAAATTGCTACCACAGCCAAAGACCTCGAAATGAGACATCTGGAGCTTGAATCACAAAAAAGACTGTATGAGAAGGTATAAATCAGCTACTTCCAATATGAAAAACAAAAGCAGGATTTGTTCAAACTCTTTTTAGCTCATATTTATTCTTGGTTTTCAAATGTTCATCTTGTTTTCTAAGCAGTATATAGTGTCATCCAGGATTGTAAGGTAGCCAGAATGTCTGAACATACAGAGTTTGTTGTAATTCTTTAACTCATGTTTCTCTTAGCAACTTAGCCTAGTGTCTGAAGCACCAGATGTAAGCCCCAGATTTTGCATCAGGCTCTTCTACCAGCTTACTAAGGCTTCTCGTGTGTGTGTCACCCCAGTTCTTCACAGGACTTTAAAAGGCAAAGGGAACAAAGCACTTTAAGTTTGAGTCCTCTGGAGTCAGCAGCACATTACTTAATACAGATAAGCTAGTTTTCTAGATTGCAAAAAGAAACTCTGTTAATATGAACATTATTAGGGGATAGCATTTAGTTTTCACCTCCTTCAGCCCTCTTCAGGTCAGGTATTGGGCTGCAAATTACCGATAACTGCAAACACATAACCAGTAACACACACACAGGACTTTTCCACCCTAAATAAGATTTAAAACTATAGCCTCTACTCATAACCACTGGAATGTTCAAGATTCTTCCCTGAACTGCAGGAACCGAGAGTTAGGGATTCACACGTGGGCTAAGCTTCCTGTGCTTGTGATGAGATGTGATTCATTTGGACCAAGCTTAAGTTTACTTTTTGCTATTTTTTCTTTGGAGGAATGGGCGTGGTGGTCCCTGGGGGTGAAATGTTAAAATTAGCTGAAAATTTGTCAGAAAAAAATAGCAAGAATTTCCAAATATTTTTCTGATTCTCACGTATTAACATTTTGCTGAGTTTGCGGTATTCTTTCTCTGGATATACATATAGACACATGTGTGGGCTTTTTTCTGAACTGTTGAAGAGTAAGGTGCAGACACAGAACCCCTGACCTTTTCATGCTTTAGTGTGTATTCCCTAAAACCAAGGGATCCTCGTCAAAATCAGGAAATTGACATTCCATTATCTGTTACATAAACCTTCGTATTTCATCAGTTGTTCTAGAAATGTCCTTTAGAGCAAAGGGAAACCTGCAATCATCCGTTTTATCAGTTATCATTTCTCTGTAGTCTCCTTTAGATTGGAACCATTGTGGGTCTTTATGTTTTGTGATACTGATGTTTGGCAGAACCTGGGCAGATGTTTTGTAGAATGGCCCTCGGTTAGCAGCCGTCTGTTGTTTCTGGTATTTAGGCTCCAATTCAACCCTTTGGTCAGGAAGAGCACAGAAATCTTGCTGAGTTTCTTTCTGTGTATCTAACCATTTTTCCTGTCTTTCTGAAGAAATACTTAGCAAACTAATGGAGTTAGATACAACTTAATCAACTCAACAAAACTAATCAAATCCTGAACTTCTAGTTAGAAGTAAATGTGCTGCTACTGTCTTTTTCAAACTATTTTAGTGATTAACATTTACCTGTCAAACCTGTCCATTACATTAGCATAATTAAAAGTACCTATTTTGAAATGAATGATAGCCCAGGAAACAATAGTGTGCACATTTCCTGGAAATAATGAACTCAACCTATAGTTTGTATAAATGATTTCTAAACAAAAGAAAACATTAGGCCCTCCCTGGTGGCGCAGCGGGTTAAAGCACAGCACTGAGAAGCTAAAGCCACTTCCGCATGAGTCCGAGCCCCGCCTGCCCCGGAGGTGACCCACATGGCCCAGCAGATCTAATAGGCCACAATACATTAAAACTTAGCATTACTAGTTACCAAGCCAAACTTATGGAAGTATAGCAGTATAAAGAAAAAGAACATTAAATAAGCGTTACATTTAATAAGTTTAAACATTCTATATTTTTGTCTACCCCATATTTAAATTGCTCGAGCTTTTTCACTCATAA